ATAAACTGAGAATCTAATTTTGTGTAACACCAGATATCGTTGTTGTAGGATAAAAACAATTGAGAAGATGTGTTAAGAAAAGTGATACTGCTTTTGGGTTTCCACATTTGGAGCTGAACTAAGTGATTTCCATATTTTAGTTGTTTTATCTTTAAACAGGCAAAAAATACAGAGAAAAAATTACAATGTTGACCTTTCGTACTGATTCTGTGTAGATTTGAGACTGTCTGTTTATCCAGGCTTGGAACTGGCACAAAGAAGTAATATAGGCATAATACGGGTTGAAGTTTTTTAAAGTCAAATCTCACTTCGCAGAAAAAGCACAAATACTACAACTAGGGCTGTAAATAAGTAAAGAAATTCTTGGTTGACTAAGACATATCCTGCCAATTCATTCCTCGACTAAAAAGAGGGCGGGACAAAAGCTCTCAAAACTATTAAGTGTCTCTATGTATCTGACCCAACCTGTACTCACAAGATTCCATGCAAAAATAACTATTTACACACAAAATATACTAGGAAATTTGGACTGTATGCCATAGGGTTTTTATCCAGGCTTGGAACTGGCACAAAGGAGTAGTACAAATCAGAGTAGTAGCAGAAATAACACTACTGGTTGCACACTATTGTAAACAGTAATAGGTTTTATAGGCAGTTAAGGGTTATCAAAGAAGTGGAAGCAGCTGCTCAAATGTCACCTCACAGCAAGACAGTCCTGGGTTCAGAAGTACTACAAGTCAAAACAGCAGTAGCAGAGGCTGAAGTCGAAGTATTAACAGTATGGAAGTAACACATACTTTCTATTAGTGGACTCAAATATTGAGTAAAAATGTTTGTAGTGATAGAAGCAAAGAAATCAACTGACATACCTCGAGGGAGTGTTACAGAGTTGAAGGTCATACTTTATAATTAGTGCTAGAAACAATATAAAGTCTAAATAAAATAGCTTATAAATGCGTCTGAAGATCCATTAAGAAAAAATCTTGGAGTAAAAGAAATACAAAAATGTGTTTGACCTTTGACCTAGACAGTTGTAACAGTTAAGAACATATGTAATAATAGTAGTTCTGTTATGTTAATGTTATGACAGTTTGAATAGTCAATCATTCAATCAGTGAATCACTATTCACCCTCAACTGATTGAATGAGGGTGAATAATAAGTCTGTAATGCATGTAACAGTAACAGTAATAGAAACAGTAAACGTAATAGTAATAGTTACAGTAGTAATAGACACTGTAATAGTAACAGCAGAGTTAATAACAGTCACATACATTAATAAGACTCAAAATCATCACTTTGTGGCAGGCCTAAAAATATTTCCAGCCAAATTATCCGCGCAAACTTGTGATTGTAATTGTTGTTTTTTAAGTCATAGACTCTCACCTTGTTGTGTCACCTGTATTTGACCTTTGACCTAGACACTTGTAACTCTTACGAGCATATACAGCAGTATTGCTATATTAATGATTTCACAGGGTACAGTAACTCTGTAATACAAGTAAACCTAATAGTAATAGACATAGTAATAGTAATTCCTAAGAGCTTGGTAGGTGTTTGATGGTGTTTTATACCTGGACATCTCAATACTTGTTTTAATTAAATAGTAACAATAATAGTAATAGTAACAGTAATAGTAATAGTAATAGTAACAGTAATAGTAATAGCAATAGTAACGGTAACAGTAATAGCAGCCGTAATAACAGTCATACATTTTAATAAGACTCAAATCGTCACTCTATGGCAGGTCTAAAAATAATTCCAGCCCAATTATCCGCGTAGACTTGTGATTGTAATTAGTGTTTTTTAAGTCGCAGAGTCTCACCTTGAGTGTGAGCCCTGTAGCGCTCACTGTAAATCAGCCCGTCTCTATACAAATATTATGATCTCTCTGATGAGAATTAAGTCTCCGTCTGGATGGCCAATAAATTAGAGGCACGCTTCTCGTTTACTCATCAGAGCTAATGAGCCTGATAAAATTACCACGAGGATCATAATTACAGGCTAGTGGCAGAGGCGCTGGCAGCCACTGGAAGCACACGACACACACAATTAGAAGAGACCATTTCGATGTATGCAGGCTATCAGGCTGGGGCTACCACAGCTTATTAATAAGCTATACATTATAAACCATTTAACCAAAACAGCATGAGAAAAATATTGTGAATCAAATTTTGGTTTGGGTTTTCAGCTCTCATTGTCTGCACAGAGATATAAGAGGTATAGATTGAGTTAAGAATATGCTTTATTTATTGATTTATTTATATATTTATTTAAATGTTTTATTTGTTTTTTGTTTTTAATGAAACCGTCCTACACCCAAGCAGCATATGCAAAATATTGTGTATGGTATTCTAGTATGGGTTTTCTTCTGACATAGTATGCAAATACATATAGACTGATTTAGGAATATGGCTGTTTTTTTGTTTTTTTTTTTGCTTTTTTTTTGATTGTCTACATGTTTTTTTTTGTTTGTTTTTTTTTTTATAGATTTTAACACTTAACACTGAAAACAAAAACACAAATTAACCAACAAAAAATAAAACCCTCCTGCTCCTCCTGTGCTTTGCTGGACAGTTCAGAAAACAGCATTAAATGGGGTTGAAGAGCGGGGAGAGGCATTCAGTGTACTGTTAGAACTGGAATCAATCTACTATCGCTGAGGCCTGCACCAACCCCTTTAGCCATAAGGTTTTAGTACAATTTAGGAACAAGTGTGACACCAGATGGCGCTGTTCATTTATCCAGGCTTGGGAGTAGCACAATATGTGAGGTTGATGATGAAATTATTGGCAAACTAAACCAAAAATGTGCAAATCATTCAAGGTTTGTTGCTTTATATTATAGGCTCATATGATCCAAATGCTAGTCTAGAAATGGTTCCAGGGCATCTGACTTGAAATCTTTATAGTTTAGCTTGGAAGTCAGGAGGCAGATGTATTGTTTTTTCCTGAAATATTAGACAGTATGGCCGTTAATTAAACTATCTCCATGGACACAAGCACGCCACATCCCCAATTTACAAGTCAGATCTGTGGAGAAGCGGACTCGTTCACAGAAATAATGAATGCTTTGCCATCGTTTTGAGAAATAAAACATCTGTAATTGAATAAATACAAGATATATTTGTTTAATCCTATACCGTGGAACATCCCAGACAAATTGGATGGGTCCGCCCCTTCACCAGAAAAGTTACACAGTACACCTTTAAGTCACAGCAAAGGGCGAATAGAAATTATATTGTATTGACGGTAATGAAAAAAACCCACTAGAGACAAAAGCCAGTCTGCAAATTAAAACAAAATTAACAGATTGTGTCAGGATTACAGATTTGCCCTAACAAACAAACAAATAAACCCACATTATAACAGTGTTTTTGGATTACGCTCACAACAACAAAGCTACAATCCCTCTCTTTTGTGTCAGAGGCGTTCACAGCCTGACTTCCGCATCCCCTCTTTCATAAAGATTAAGCACTTCACGGGTAATGGCATATTTTAATGAGCGATGGCAGCCCGGACACGAGAGCTCACCTCAGAGGGATCCCATCTCCTCACACATTCACGCCATCAATTGTTTTACTTATGAATATTAATGTCCCTCTAATTTGAGCCTGTTGTTAATGCTTGTCGCTAGGAGCTCGGCAAATCAGGTCCCAGTCCTGGTAAAACCGTGTATGAGACAAGCCGCCCCCCTGACACTAAGCCCTCTCCTTTGATTCTTAATTGCAGAAGTGTGAGCATTTGCAGGAGATGGGCTGCAAAGCTTTAATTAACTCTAATATCACACATTGAGTCTCGACTGTCAGGCCAATCACGCGTGGCATTTTGTAGCATCCAAATAAAAGAGAAGTTTACGATGACGATTTCATGCGTTTCAAACTGATGTGCTGTATATCGACACCACTGAACGAGGCCTTGAAAGCTCCTATTAAAAGCATACATTGATGCGTTTTTGATCACTTGCAGTATTAGGCTATGGTAGATTGGAATATTATGCAAAAGTACTTTCATTTCAGTAGTCTGGGTTCAAAGTGATTTTCGATGCAGTACACGCAGGATTTGAAGATTTAAATGCAGTCACGATGTTTCACATTTTAACTCTCCTTAATCTCTTACAATTGAATGCATTTTTAATAGTTCAGTGAATATATCATCCCTTTACAACTATGATATTTATGTATCTATCTACATTCTTCAACTTAAAAATATTGGGTGTTTCAAAATAGCCCAATAAATGAATCTAAGAAAAGACTATTGTGTTCCTCAGCTTAAGGCCCAAAGTTGCTTAAAGGTTTACTATGTAATGTCCCCCTGGCGATGATCTTGCTTTGCTAGGATCTTTCATGATGGATGTAATAATTGCAAATAAATAAATAAATACATAAAAATAATAATTATAATAATGCCATACTGTAGAACATCTCCAGTAACATCTCCTTGAAGACAAGTGGATCATAAAAGTTAATGTTAGACTCATATGAAACAAGGAATCAAGAGAAACTGGACAAACTGCTGATTTTAAAATTACAATGAATGTAAAATGTATTTTTATGAAGTACTTTTTAAACCTTAAGTGTAATTACCCATAATGCAACACTATACTTGACTCAACAGACTTAACGTGTCTAAAGATCCGAGTTTGAGGGATACACACTTTGCTAAATCGTATATAGGCCTCATTGAATTGGTCCTTAAAAGCCCTTATTAAAAGCAACATTTGTGTCTTTTTGATCATTCGGAGCTTTAAGAGGTATTGTTGATTTGTTACTCAAAGTGGCTCTCTCGTATCCGCACACTTTTTCTGAAGCTTGTGGGATGAGGAAAAGTTCACGCATATATTTTTTTAAATGAAAAGATGTGCGCCCCAAAGAAGCAGCTATTAAGGAAGTAATTCAGGCTCTCTTACACAGCTAATCTTCAAAGGGTTTTAATGGACAACAAGTTAAGAATACTATAAATATATCATTCAAATGCAACATTACAGCACAGCATAGGCCCGTCTTAATAGCTCAGGTAGGAGACGCGTCCTGATGCAGATATTAGCAAAAAGAGTAATGTTAATTAAACCTGGTTTGAAGATAACAAGCTCAATACAGACCTATAGTTTAAATAAGCCGTTCGCGGGCCAAAAGCTAGAGCCCGACCTAATCCTCTTTCACATTACGTTATTGCATCAGTGCAGGCCAACATTTCTGCAGCATTTATAAAATTAGCAAAGAAATTAACTGTCTGTACTGTGGCAAATTGGATTTTCAAGTTTGGTGGGGAGTCGTGAGATAGAGCATAGCCAGGCTGCCACCTACAGTACAGACGGAGAGAGGAGCAGATGCACGAGGCTCTTTATAGAAGTGAGCTGAAAATAGTGCACAAAATATGGATGTTTGTTACACTGTTTTGTATTATGAGAAAGTAAAATATAGTGAAGTAATATCCAATTTGTTTAATTCAAAATAGTGAGTGAGATATTTCATGAATTATAATAAATTACAGTTCTTAATGTTGCTATGATGATTATTGATGACGTCATGTTATACTTTGAGAGAATAAAAGTAGTAAAATAGTCATAAATGTATCACAATAAAAATAAATATATATAGCTATATTTTTAACCAATACTTCCTTCCAAAAAAACAAGGTGTTAAACTGAACAAATGGTATTTCTATTCTGTTTCCTCATAAAAATACATTCTTACATCTATTTCCTCGTATCGAAACCACCACACTAACTATCACATGAACATTACATCTCAAAAATATATTCACAAATTAACCAAACTAAAGATATACTTTTACTTTATAGACACAAACATCAAATTCATTCTTTATAGACTGGTTAAACTTATCGTTCAAAATATCATTATCACTTCTCTGAGTAAACGTAAATACATTTCATTTGTGATTCTAGTTATTATTCCACTCGCCTTTTACTTCTGCGCCTGAACATTTTGGAGATGGAAGACTTCCTTTTAGCTTTGGCTTTCTTTAGTCCTACACAGTGGAAATAATAACATATATCTTAAACATTGAAATTAAAAAAGTGAAAATACTTATCTGAAACCAATTAATTTCGCACAATACTCACCAAGGCTTTTCATCATTTCATTCAACTGCTGGTCCTCCTCGAATTCTCTGATTAAGAAAACAATGGTTCATATTTGGGTACTTTTATTCCAATAGAATTTTATTATGGGAGTTTTACCTGAGTCTGTCTTCATCCAGACCGTCCACTATTGCATTTCGCCCATCCACGATCTCCACCAGTCTCTGCATCAGCTGCTGTTCACGCTGCTGCTCCTCATAAGACTTTAAATGATCTGATAAAATAAGAGTTAAAGAGGGACTAAACCAGACCAAAATCAGGACTAAACAAGGATTACTTTGGGGTCAAACAAGGTAGTACAAAGTTAAATCAAACTTTATTTATAAAGAACTTTTTAAACAAAACCCAAAATCCCACATTCAGGACTGAATCAACAGTAAACAGTAATCACCTAGGACGAATGTAGAGGTACAGATTGACAATATAAATGCATATATCTGGAACTAACCTCAGCTAAAGTGGTTATGAAGTAGGGCTGAACCAGGAACTAGGACTCATTCATCAGTTTTTAGGAGACAGAACCAGGTTTAATTTACGACTAAACCAGGAATGAAAGATGAAAACCAAAACCAGGATTTAACAGGGTTTAAACACAGACTAAGAAATGGTTCAGACTACAACTGTATTCCTTAACCAGAAAAGAATTTAACTACACAAAAGTTCAAATCAAGTATATGGGCGTGTTTACATTTGCACACCACACTACTTAAAAATTGGGGCTAAACCTCGACAAGACCACCAGTACTGAACCAAGTGTGAATGCACCACCAAAGGTAACTACAGGAGCCTGTGCCACAATTTGACCACCACAAGACCATTTGAGGGTCTAGAATAGTTTAAATTAGAAAATAAAGGGAGGATTATTGAAGTTTTACCTGGTTTCTCCAATAATCTGCGCAGTTCTCCCTCCACACCTGGCTGCTGCTGCTCCAGCTCCAGTGTCCGTGCTCTGAGCCATTTCACAATCACAGAATGACAACAACATCACTATGCAAACCTCTACTATAAATGACAACACAAAACTTTATGATATGAAGGAAGAATGAAATAATATTTTGATTGCAGTTTAATACATTTGGCTTTTGATTACTATACAAAGAGTAAAGTGCAAGCCTCCGATGACTTTTTCAAATGGTACTCATCTGTTTTGCAAATGAACTCTTATACTTAATTGGTATTAATAGTACTGTGTTGACTTACATGTAAACCAGCTCGGACTCTTTTCTGATGTACATCTGCTTCTCTCGAATGAGGTTGAACCAGTCGACCATGAGAGGGTCCATCAAGATGTCTCCTCTTCCCTCTAAAATTATAAACATCACAGATTTATTAAGATGCAAATAAGTCATAGCATAGAACAATTTACAACTTATGACACTGAGTGAGTAAACATGAGTGCTGGATCAATGTACTGCAATAGTATATACACACAATCTTAGAAGTATTTACACTTTAGATAACAAAAGGGAATACATTTTGAAATTATGTTCGCATTTAAAAAAATATTTATTTGTGAACAAGTGTGTGTGGGCCTTACAGTAGATACTAAAATAATGATACTGAAATAGAGTAATAGTGGTTTTCAGCAACAACAGCAAGACAAATATTGGAGATCATGTAGATGAAATATACTGTATTACTATAATTATATATTTATACCTTATTGACACAGACTCTTGTCATTTCTACTTTTTTAAATTTATTACCATTTATATTTTTGCTCTTTGTTATTATAATATATTGTGATGTGTGAGCTACTGTGTCCAAATAATTTCCCTTGTGGATCAATAAAGTTTGTCTAAGTGGTTCCAGTCTAATATCCATATCAGCTGAAAATCGGAATATCCCCCAACAGTACCAGTTTCTAACACTGATATAAAATGTATTCTTATGAGTAGATTCATAATGTAATAGTAAAGTAAAATTACAGACACCAGAGCAAAAAACAAACAAACAAACAAACAAACAAAACCCCTCAAATAACAGTAAAAGTATCATCTGAAAAAATCTACTCAAGTACCTGTTTAAAAAAGTACTTAAAGAGTAAAAAGTAAAAAGTATTTCAGCAGAAACAATTTAATTATTGAATTTCTAGCTGTTTTTCTTGTATATTTTTGTGTGTTGTTAAAAATAAAGCCTTTTCAGCAGGTGTCAAGCTATTATAAAATATACTTTTCAGTTGAGTTAAAAAATGTAGTGGAGTAGACAGCACAGATACCTGCTCTCAAATGTAGTGAAGTAAAATTAAGAAAAGTACAGATATCAAAAATGTATAAGTATTTTACTAATTTTACTTTGTTATGTTCCACCACTGGTAATAGGTTTGTTTAGGCATTACTGAATAAAAACATACTCATTGGTGTGTTTGGTCCCAGGACGACACTGTCAGTTTCCTTGACGTGTGCAGAGTAAAGGTCTGAGTGGGACCATTGATCTCCGATGCCAATTAGTGACCCCCCCAATTACAACTCATCAATCACACCATGTTTTAGGGCTGTACACACATGCACACAAAAGAGTCCACCTGAGCCAATACACCCAAAACAAACCAACCAAAAACAGACTCTTCAACTCTGATCTCCAGCAGTGAGGCAGATGATGTCCTGTGTAGTGGGAATACATGTTATATTATATCTGCATGCTTTTGTACCCGCACATGAGAGAGTGATTTAAACCCAGCTGGGCCGCAGGAAATAATAATTATGGAAAATGTCACAATTTGGGCCATAGTGCAGAGTATAATAATGTACTGGTTATTATGTGGATTGCTTTTTGATTTAAACATAGTGTTTTAATATGTATCAAAGAAATCCTGTAAATTCAATTTCCCGACTAAGCAAAAACAACTTGTTACTGACATAAATTCTAATGTCGTTCAAAACATAGCAAGTATATAGAAAGACATAGATTGACACCCAAACTTATATATACTTTTGAGTCATATTTTTATTGATATTAACTAGTTATGATGTATGTGACTGGGCTATTATTAGATTATTAGTAGTTTAGACATACTCTGATATGGGGGAGTTTTATTCCTGTTGATATATTGATGTTTAATAAATATCACATTTTCAAAAAACTTAAATGTAATCACTTAAAAAAAAAAAAAAAAGGCCCATTAATTTGCATATTCACAACAGTAACTTTACCACCACCACCATCGCTACGGAATATTATGGTGTTTTCGAAACCCGCCACTAAGCTCTTTATAGTTAGCCTTTCAGATTTTATTTTTCTGTCAATACACTATGCTACTTTCTGTTTACTTGGGTCCAAAACTATTATTACCAGTGGTTCTCCCCTGTGTCCATTTTCACATCTGCAAAAAGGGATTCAGCCAAAACACGACTTCAGCATTTTGAGTAATTTGAATAAAATTTGAGACTTCCAGTTTAGAATATTGAAACAGCAGAAACAGAGATTCGAGGGAGTTCAATGATTCGATCTTTGCCCTAGATTTGATTTTCTCTCAGTAAAACAGCAGTTTACCTTCCTCACAGTGTCTCAGCCTCTTCTCCAGCTCCACCCCGTCCCGCTCCAGCTGGGACAGGTTTGTCTCAATGTTTTTCAGCTCTGTGTCAATCTGCTGTAGACGAATGGTGCAAGACTTCACCTGGTACACAACAAAGAGACATCATAAGAGTTTGGACAAGATTTAAGAGAAGACAGTGTAAAGTGAAAGGTACATTATAATATTCTTTCATGTAACAGATAATATTCAACTTCTCAAGTATTATGGGGTCACTTATTGTGTCAATCCCAGCAATACCAATAGCAACAGCAAAACTTATTTATACATTTAAGTAATTGAATTAACACATTGCTGACAACTGGAATAAATATACCATGCATTGGAAAAGCTATGTTTCAATATGAATATCTTAAAATGAATAAATATATAAATAAATACATATATATGAACGTATATGCATTTTCCATTTTTTGTCAATATCATATTTTGTTCTTAAAGGTCCTATATTACACAAAATTGGCTCTTGTGAGCTTTAAGCCATGTTTGACTGGTGTCATCTCATTAAAAACATACCTGGGAGTTGTGTTTTGTTTCATTTTGCACGTGTTTGAGTAATCCCTTATTATTAGTCTGTCTACATCTCCAAAGCTCAAAATGCTCTGTTCCACCTCTTGATGTAATGAAGCAGTATAGTTTTCAAGTTAACAGCTACATTAAAAAAAAATTTTTCAGTAAAGATTGAGAATTCCAGGGCTGAAATCATCCAAATGATTCTAATGAATTAAAAACACAGTGAAGCACTTCCTGTATTACAACATGACATCACAAGGTGGCACAGAGTGTTTTCCAAGTTAGTGAACTCAGCCTAAATATGCAGCATTTGTGTGTTAAACATTTGTGAATAAAACAAAACACAACTCAGAATCTGTTTTTGATGAACAAACAACATTATCACATAGATCAGAGAATAGATTAGTATAGGCCCTTTAAACAGAATACTGCATATAGAATTGATTTTTGGAATAAAATGCAAACTACACTCAAATGTAAAATGCTGACTTTTAATAAATGGGCCTTTCTGTGTGGAGTTTGCATGTTCACTATGCCTGTGCTTGTTTCTTAAAATGCATACATTCAAACCATTTGTCAAATGTAACTTTATTCTTTCTTTTCTATACAGACTTAACAAAGTAGTTATGAGTGTAAGTTAGTGCTTATATTGAGCTAAGGTTGCATATGTATTAATAGAGCAAACAAGCGCAACTTTCTATAGTGTCTGGCCTTAAAGGTAAAGAAGGCCATAGCTGTAATGTAATGAAGTGTATTTATCAAGCTGCTAATTAATCTCATAAGAGTCTTAATGGTGAGAACTTACAGACGGTGACCTCATTTCAGTCTCGGGGGCGTTGGTAACTGACAAATACTTTCCCTTTTTAGCACCTAAGAGGTAGAAACAACAGGATTAGATAGACCTTTCACTCTAGCTTTTCTACAAAATCATTGTCAAATATGATTTCAACTCATTTATTTCAACACTGCAAATGAGCGCTCAAGCTACATCAACAAAATGTGTGTGTATGTGTGTGTGTGGCTTTGATGATGACATTTAAATTATAAAATCTGGAAGGAGGACCTGAAGGATTTCCATGATTGGTTTGAGCTGCAGAGCTAATAGATTCCACAGCTGGGTGCCTGGGTGGGGATTTCACAGCCGGGTGGTTCCCCAGTTTTACACCTAAAATAGAAACAGCGCTATACAGTATTCAGGCAGTGGATATGAGCAGGTCTGGGCAGTATGACAAAAGATGATTAAAATTTAAAAAACAAACAAACAAAAAAGCTGAACATACACATCCTACATTATGCAAAATTGACTCTTGTGAGCTTTAAGTCATGTTGTTACCTCCTCAAAAACATACCGTTCAGCTTTGTTTTGTTTCATTCACACATGTTGAACACACATAGCCTGCATGTTTAGGCTGAGTGCTTCTCTCAAACAGAAAACACTCTGTTCCACTTTGTGATGTCATGTGGTAATACACGAAGTGCTTCACTGTGTTTTTAAACTCTATAAATCTTCACTCGGCCATTTGGATGATTTCAGAACTGTTATTACCTTGCTATCCCGAACTAAAGGTAAAAGGTAGATATTAACACAAAAACTACCACACCATGACATCACAAAGTGGAACAGAGAATTTTGAGCTTTGGAGACACAAATAGACTAATAATAACAAAGGATTACTCATACATGTGTGAATGAAACAAAACACAACTCGAGATATGTTTTTGATGAAGTAATAACATTATAAAATGGCTTAAAGCTCACAACAATCAATTTAGCATAATAAAGGACTTTAACAATAATCATTGCAGTTTAACACAAACATAGCTCCAAACCACTATAAGTGAATTCAGTGATGTTTGTGTATGACATACAGATTAACTAATGAAATATTACCACCTCAACTTTTAAACGCAAATTACAATGCTGGATGTGTAGGAGGGCTCAAGTAGCTCACATATTTAGGTGACTTTTTACTAAACCAGGGAATATAAATGTCCACCTCGCTGCACATTTTACTGTTAACAAATGTATTATAGTGTGTTTATGATGCTTATGAACAGATAATAAGGATGACTATAAATTGGAGAAAGAATTAAAATATAGTTACAGAATATATTCTAAACTATATTTGGAGGACTCACCCGTGTTTGTGGATGCAGGTTGATGTCTGCGCGGAGCGACAGGTGCAGGGATGAACAGAGGAATGGTTACAGGCGGCAGGACGGGTGCAGGTGCAGGGGCAGAGGGGGGCTTTGGGGAGCTGAGTGGGACACTGACAGGAGCAGCGGAGGGGAGACCAACTTGTTCAGGAAAGGTTGTTGCACCTCTGAACAAAAATATAATTCATAATAAAGAACTAAAATAATGTTTCTGTTTTATTAAATGAGCAAAACTTAGAAATACTGAATTTAAAAAAGTGGTTTGAAGTTTCCATTACAGTATGCATTGCTAATGGGTGGAATTGAACCTCCAGCATTTGGGTTGGAGGCATTTGTCTCAAAAAACTAACCACTGCTGTCCTATGAAGCTGTCAAAACAAAGAGACAGTAAAGCACGTCTTATAGCTCCTGTATATTATGGAATAGTCATCATTTGTAAACTACTTTGGGCATGGAAATTTCTATATGCAAAAAGCAGCAATAAGGTGCTGCACCTGCCTATGCTTTGTTTGTTTATATTGTAGAAATATACATTATATTGTCTCTTTAAAGCCACAGTATGTAACATTTTAGCCAAAAAAAATGACAAAAATAAAAGTATATTTTTTAAAATGTATTTCAGTTGTGTTAATGTGAAAACACTAAAAATGTGTTCCTTCTGAGTGGGCTTTCATCTCAACAAACCTGACTGGAGGATCGCCTGCGGCTTGTTTTCGTAGAAATGTTGCTCCATTGGCTCTAATTTTATACAGTATGGCATAAAATGTATCTATCTCCATGGAGAATGTTCTGAAGTGTGGCTTAAACTTTTTTCATGAAAACATGCATTTGAAGTGCCATCTCCAGCATACTGTAGCTTTAAACGGAGGCACATTGGATCAGAAATGGTAAAGAGAGACTTACATTATTCCTGGATCAGATGTCACAGGTTTGGTCTGCACTTGCCCCTCAGCAGTTGCACCTACACAGACAAAAAAGAAGGTTTAAAGTCTTCTATTACAAAAAATGACTATTATGAGCTTTAAGCCATTCTTGTGAAAGTGTATGAAGTTTAAAAACACAGTGGAGCACGTCCTACCAAATGACATCTCAAAGTGGAACAGTGTTTTCAGTTTGAGAGAAGAACTCAGTATAAATATGCAGGATTTGTGTTAAACATGTGTGAACGAAACAAAACACAACTCCAGGTCTGTTTGTGATGAGGAAACAGCATTATAACATAGATCAGAAAACAGTGCCCTTTAATATTAAAATAACTAGAATAATGAACACGCCCACATCTGTCATGCTTTGTGTTGGCCCCTTTAAGCAGCTCCTGTACAATCATAACAGCCCTGTCCCCTGGCTCTTTATGTCAGCATTACCTGCTGTTTGTTCAGTGGAGACTGTTCATTATCCAGTCTGTCACAACAACGGGCTAAAGGAGCTCATTCTCACCTCACAGCTGCAAACAACTCACACATTTGTTTTAATGTCAAAATACTGTGAAAAGTAATTAAGTCTGATACCTGTCAATTCTATTTATGTTTAAGTGAAATGACTCTAAGCGTTCTATGGAGATTTAAAGCCATTTGTTAATAGACTCGACATGGGACATTTTCAATATCATGACCTAAAGAAATATATTGCAATTTCTGTTAGTGAGTATGAGGATGAGGAGAATGTGGGGGTCCCAGAGTGGAAAAAAAAAAAAAAAAACATGTAATAATTTGTCTTTTTAATATAAATTATGATTTTCTTTCTACTTGCATTGTAGCTCTTTTTTTATTTAGTCACACCTATAAAGAAAATTACAGAAAGATTTTTAAGGAAGACATTTATAGCAACAATACAAGCTATCCAGTTTTCCTTTAAATTTTGTCCTTGAGCCTTTATTATCCATTTTGTTGTCATCTTCTGTATATTATTTTATTTGTGTTACATCTGTTTATTTTTATATGTTGTGTTTGAGTGCTTCAGAACTAATGTTCTCTTGTGGAACAATAAAAACCTTGAACTTGTGATTTCAGAAGCATTTTGGATTAGGGACGATAAGTGCGATACTGACATTAAATATCAGCACCAATATCAAAAGGTTTGGTGGATCAAATATGGGCCCCAAGATATTGGTTCAGTTGATATCCCACTTTGGTATATACATTTGTGTAATAAGACAATTTACTTACCAATATTGCCCCAAAACACCTTGTAATATTGAACCTGTATTTTTTTTAAGCTGTTCTGTAATGACTTTATATAGTGAATAAGTTACAAAGCGCATCTGGATCATTGTTTACCATATGCTATTTGTGTTTAAAGGAAATAATTCTGGTTCTGGTATAGGTTGATATTGGATATGGGCAGATACTTAAAGCCATATCTTATCATTGGTATCAAAACATAAAAAGCTGGATTGGTGCATCCCTATTTTGGACACATTGAACACTGCAGTGGTATGTTTTATAATAGCACAACCTGAATTTTGACTTTTTTTCCATTGCTTTTGATGGCAACAATCTGTGCTTATGCCAAATGACCTCCTGTCCTGGATTCCTAAATGATATTCTTTTTTGTTTGGTACTTTTAATTTTATGAAAGTTTCTGCAATCATCCAATAACAACCCAAACTCTGTTTAGAGATAACAATAAGCACGCCTGACCAACCATCCCCAAATGGGCCTTTTTCTAATTGAAGAAATTCTATTTAAAAAGTCACTTTCCCAATTATAACTATTTGCAAAGTGTCAGGAAAATTACAGATTCATTTTGCACCTGTCCAGAGAGAATGACAGTCCAACTCCCAAAGTTTATTAGGGACTGTGGGGCTCAAATGGAAATGTCAGAAACGTCATGCTAGATTCACCAACTGTGTAAATGGGCCACGGACAACAAAAGAGCTTTGTCGTCTAGGAATGAGAAAGACAAAGGAAGGGACCGCTGGTTTTAGCTCTGGTTCAAATCACAAATCAAACAGGAGTGAGTTGAGTTGCTCTTACATTTGGCATTGCTGTGTGCACTGGTGGGCCTGGTGTTGTTTTGGTGAATGGCCTCCAGGTTTGGTGGTTGTTGGTTGTTTGTGGGAGCGAGGCAAAGAGGGGCAGTCTTGGGTCCTGCTGGGTCTTGGTGGCAAAAGTCTGGTCTAAAACGGAAGCCCTCACTGATACTTGGATCATCTCCAAATCTAGAAAGAAAACATTGTCATTATTATATATTTGAACTTATATAGATGTTGAAAATTTGTAGATTACAGACCAGCTATTCAAAATCTGTAAATATTTATTACAGGCACACTATGTAACTTTTCTGGCCATGTATTCATGTCTATATTGAGATAAACTTGCTTTAAATGTACGTGCATTTATTCCATAACAAGAGTAATGCTCAAAAATATGTTGAAAAACAATCATATTTTTCTGTGAGTGAGCTTGCCTGCTTGCATCTCTTGTCTCCATGGAGATAGATATGTTTAATGCTATACTGGGGAACTTTCTAGGCAAAGCATAGAATCAAGCAGGTGATGGACACACCACCCAAAAAGTTACACAGTGTACCTTTAAGGTAAATGTTATTGTATTGAATGGAAAGGGGGTAGGATACAAAAATGAGACACAAAATACAATTCATCTAACCCCTAATATAGGCCAGCAAACTCCAGGTCTTACTTAATGTTCAAAATGTTGCATAGTCATTTTTGCTGAAATAAAGGATAGAATTTAACATGGTAGTTTCTTACCTTGTGTCTGCTGTTCTTATGGTGAAAGGTCTTTTGTTGTTATTATTACAGTTTTGTTCTGCCAGTCTTCTCACCACCACTGGTTTAACTTTGCTCTTGTCTTCATCAGACTTGAGTGGGGTCTTTACTTTTTCTGGAAAACTGGACGGTCCTGTTCTTTTACTGTTGCCTGGTGGAAAATCTGCAGGATCTTGGAAAAACCTCTGCCTTGCTTCTTGGGTCTTCTGAGCGGACGTGGTCCAGGATGGTGAGGGGGGAGAGGAAGGAGAGGAGGGAGAGGGTGAGTTGGAGGAAGGGACAGGACTGGCAGATTTTGGGGCAGATTTGTCCGCAGAGCAGAGCACAGATGAGGGGCGTGGAGGGGTGGGTGGTTTTTGGCGGACAGCTGAAGCACCAGGTCCAGTTTTGGTCCCAGATTTTGATGAAGGCTGAGTGCTCTGATGGGACTTACAAATAAAAGAGTCAGGCTCCTTCCCAGGTCTGTAGCCTCCTGTGTGGAGCACGCTGGAGCATTCACTGCATCTGAAACAGTAATAATAAAGATCAGAAAAATGTATGTCGACCAATACAAAATATGTCTCTGTCTTGTACCTTTGTATTGCCCCTTGCATATAAATTTACAATGTCTGATTTTACTGTTTTCTATGATAAGCAGAATAAAATCTTGAATCTATGAGACACTATGTGGTGACATGATACTGACTTTCTTAAAAATAAAATCTGTTCCTATTAACAATTAATTAAAATAATGTGTTAACAAAAGTAGATGTGTATTTGTCTGTGTCAATTAAGTAGTAGACTTTACAATGTCCTTTAGTACTGCTAATGTTATGTTAATTAATAAAAAATCATGACACATTCTTTGTTAACAGAAAGTAATTTTAAAGTCAAATGCAAATTGAATATTATCCTGGGTAAAGAAGAGCCTTCAGAATCAATATAAATGTACTCTAACAAAATCCTACTTGAAACAGCTCCTGTGGTAAAGTTTTCCCTCCACAAAGTGCCTCTGGACCAGGTGGACATGGCTTTTGCAGGCAACACATTTACTGTTCAGAGTCCCAGTTTTGTTGGCATTTTCTGACAAAACTGCCTTCTGTGAAATAAAACACACAGCTAGTATACATTATATCATTAATAATGCACAGCCCTTGATTTTACCTGAGCACCGTCACTGGGCGTCTTGGGTGAACTTTGACCTGAATGTTTGGGTGGTGTCCGATTCTCAATGGCATTTTTTGACACAAAGTTTTTGGCAACTACAGGCAGATTTCTTTTGGACGGCTCTTCCTTGGAGCCCTCTGCTGGCCTTTTTACACCTCCACCTGCAAAGAACAAATGTCTTCAAATACTGAATAATAAATCATATTTTATATCAGCCCACACACAATTAAAAATATTACTAACCAGTCACCAATGATTGAATATTTAATTTACATACTTAATCTGATTAGAGGTTGTAGGTGACTAGAGACCCCTTCCTTGTAGGCCTTAGGTGGTGTACAGTCTGGACCATAGTAGTATTCTTTATGCCTTGGTTATTTCAGAGTATATCTGAATACAAGAATATAAACTCACTGGGAGGTCGCCCTCTGAAGTAGTTGTAATACTGGGAGACATAGGTCAGGATGCTGAGTCTGTCTGGGATCCTCAGGGCCACCATGTCCTCTGCATCCAAAAGAGCAGGGATGCCCAACTTCTCCTCTGCTATTTGGAACGCCTTTGGCAAAAATAAAAACATATATTACACTTTTGTTATTTTTGTATTACACAGTAGCATAACTAAAAAACTTGCAGGCAAAGTTGTCACGAAATTGTCAATATCAACAATTTAAGTAACTTTAAAGTAAATGTGTGGAACAAACTAAGCTAAAAAACAGTGTATTATACAACAGATGAGTAGAGATTTATCTATTCAGTGACAGTCTGTTCAAAATCTTATATGACTGGTGGCAATGTTGTGTGTGTCCAGCTTAAGTGTACACACATTTGCAAAACACTGTACTCAAGGCTTAAATGATAACTTATTAACTGCAGTCCAATGGTCAGTGAGAGAAAGAGTTAGATTACTTATTTTTGTTCAAATGAGCAAAATAAGAATATCCAATTAGGAAATGAACTATTTTACGACAGAATAATTTCCACAGACGCATTTGTTAATAGTGGTACAATACAGTAACTGCTTTTAGCTTTAGTACATAATGGTCAAAGGGGACATTAAATTAGACATGTTAAAACAGCTACACAATACAAAGTGCTTTAAATAGAACCACTGTCTTTGTGAGTCAATCTGGAGAGGTCTGAAAGGCCAGGGCGATGAATGGCAAACTTCCTGTGGACCAATGAGGGCAAGAAATAGAAGGAGGGAGAGAGGTGGGGAGAGAGGGGGTGTAACAGAAAGAGAGGGAGAACAAGAGATAGGGTGTGAAAGAGGGAGAGATAGAGAGAGAAAGAGAGACTCAGAAGGGAAGACAGAGAGAGATGAAGAGATAGAAAAAAGTGAGGGAGAGGAAGAGAGAGGGAAGCCGTAAAGGAGCGAGACAGGATACTGGGGTATTGTTCTGAATCAGCCTGAATGCTCATTAAATTTACAGCTTCTGAAATGTGAGTGAAAAAACTAAACAGGACAAAAAAGAGAAAATCTGGTTTTGCTTAATACCAGTTCTAATTTAGGTTATGGTGAGGTAAGCAGTACATTTGACACTATTCATAAAATATACAGGAGCATAAGTGATCCAAGTCTCACGTTTCTTTACTGGGAGCATCTTCAACATTTGACCAAACCTGAACCTGTGTCAAGATCCCGCCCACTGACCACAAGCCAGGTTTAAAGTTCGTTTTGTACTTGGAGTAGTTTACAATAGAGTGCCTTCCAGTACAATGTCAGTATAGAGTGACCAATGACAGCACGCCTCATTCAAAATAAATAGCTTTGTGAGTCTGCACTGGGGAAGGTAGCTACTTATACATTTGAATTGTCTAAAATAACAGGGAAATTGTGCATATCCTGGTGGGAAGCTGGGGAAATAGGCAAAATAATATTAATGTCCAGACTGGGAAGTATAGGTCGTGCAAGGGTTAACAAAATAAATGAGGTCACATAAACGGCAAGGCAGGAAATCATAACTTCAACAGTAATGTAGTCTGAAAAAGTCTTATTTTATTCCCATAAGACAGTGTAAGTTTTTGCTTTTTTTTTTTTTCAAATGGCACTAAATCTCTTCAAAGAATCTATGGTAAACAACAAAAGTGTGTAGGCCTATTGTCATTAGTAAAATATTCAAAAATAGAGAATTGAATAGAATTTACACAATTTAATCACTACAAAGTTTGTGAATGTTTTGTTCCTAAAAAACTTCATATTGCAAGCTAAATATTTAACCCACTGTACAAATGCCATGTACACCACATATTTTGGGCTGACAGTAATTAAGTAATTAAGTCCCGTGCCAGATTTTTGGAGCTAAAATTCAGATATTTATTAATTTTGCTGAAACAAAAGATTTAACAAGTTTAACATCTCACCAGTCGATTGTTCTCAAACACATCCTCCTTTTTCAGTGACTCGAAATCTCTGGGAAAAGATCAAAGCAGTGATTTTTATTACTAACAAGAACAAAAAGGAAAAGTCAACTTATAAAATCACCATTTCATCTTGCTGTAGCCTTCTGTTAAACTGTCTTATCCGGTATTATTAGAACAGAATATCTTAATGAATAAACAAGTAAATAGATTCCATTTAAAAGGTTAAGGTATGTAACTTTTATAGTAGGGTTCACCACCTGCTTTCTTCTAGATGTTATTGTGTTATACATTCCATAGTATGACATTAAACATATCAAACTTGCATTTATATAGTTATTATAGTGTAAATCAACTCACCTCTCCACAGATCTGAGCAGTAACTTGGCCTGGTTGACTCACTGGCTTGTCTCCATGGAAATAAATAACTTTAATGGCATACTATGGATATTCTAAGCAAAGCAATAACATATTCGAGGCTCTGGAGCTGAACCCTCAACCAGAAAAAAGTTATTCTGTGCTCTTTTCAGTATGCCCAGATAAATATGATGCAGGCAAGTGATTAATGCAATGATACCATGGTAAAATAAATAATACATATTGTTTTCTTCTTTTTTGTTTCCTCAAAATGAATAAATTCAGTCCCGTTACTTCATAATTGAGGGGACATTGTTTAGGCCACCTCTATAACCCCAAGTTCAAGAAGTAGCTACTCTGATTAAAATGTCACTCACGAAAGATAAACTTGGCTACTTTACTTTACTTTACTTAACTTTACGCACCTATTTCTTGGTGAATTACTTACATCAGATCCGGCCTGTACTTGTGTATGAGCGCGCAGAAAGCCATCCCGTTCCTAAAAGAGGTGGTCATATTCGTGATCGCCACATCTCTGTACCCATCACACTGAGTTTTGCACCATTGCTCCAGGGCTTTGATGGCGGCCATTGTCCTGTAGCCCCGTGTGCGCGAGAGACTGTTGGCAAAGGGAAGCAACAAGCACCGAAAAGTCCCGTAACCGAGTGGCGGGAGGTCCAGGAAGACAACAGGAGCACAAGAGCGCGGGCAGGCTCCGGGGGCTGACCGTGAACTGCGCCGGTGCAGCTGCGTCCTGTTTCCGCCTGTCACCTGAATGAATGACCGCGCGCAGAGGACGGACGAGCGGCGTGCTGGTGTGAGTTTCCCCGCTCATATTTACTCTAATTAACTCACGCACTCTGCATAGAAGAAGATACCGCTGAATGAATAGTGAATGGCACTTTAAATGGCGTTGGAAAAATTCAAGTTTGAAGTTTTTTCGGGTTATGTGGCCTAAAAGGGGTTAAAGGTGCACTGTGTAACTTTTCTGGTGGAGAGTCGAATCGCTACGTGCTTCCACTGGGATTATTATTGCTTTGTCTGAATAATCCTCAAGCGACTGACATCACTGGGTCAAGTTACAGGTCAGATCTGTGGGGAGGTGTGGATGAGCCCACTCACAGTAATGCTTATATTTTTATTTATTTTTTAGCTATAATTGAATAAATTGAAGAGATAGATCAGTATTGCCATAGGCACTGTGAAAAATTCTAGGAAATGCAATAATATCTTCACAGAGACAATCAGGTGACGACCCATGATCAGAAAAGTTACATAGTACACCCTTAAAGATGAGGGTGGCATCCATTATACATTTCACTTCTGAGGTAAACAGACTCCCAGTAGGGGGCAGCCTCGCACTGACACCCTGCATCTAAATTGTGTCCTACATGAACAGTACAGAGTCTAAACCGCATTCAAATATAAAACTTGGACGTGGAATTTGGTAATAAAATATTATATGTATTTTCCTTTGTGTAAATCATGCTATTTGGTTTATTAATTGCTATTTATGTTTGACTCCTACACCACAGCTGTCTAAGACATGAGTAACTGTTTGTAATCGGGCTGTTTCTGATTTCATTTGTTGTTACTTCCAGTGTTTCCTGAGAGGACGTGTATCGGCACGCAGACGTCCGGATCTGAGCAGGTCAGGATGAGCTTGTCAGCGCTCCATTCACTTTCAATTAATGAGTCTTAAATACTCTCACTTTAAAACTCTATAGAGTTACACACAGCATCAAACCACATAGTATTAAAGAGGTACATACATACATGAAAGATTTTACTCAACATTACAATAATGAAGTACAATGCCGATTACAAAAGTAAATATCATAATGCTCTTAAATGTGTAATATGTAAAAATAGACTGGTTTATATTGCAACAAATTCCTGCACAGAGGTAAACTGGCACTCAGCCTTTCATTGTGAGCTTTGCACAAACAGGATTTAGAGTCTGTCTCTGCCCTCAGTGTGCTGTGTAGTGGGTTCAGTGTCTGTCTCTGCCCTCAGTGCCCTGTGCTGTGGGCAGTTTGTCTCCTGTGGTCACAGAGCTGTGGAGCTCTGCCTCGTGCTCTCGTGCTTTGGCTCTGAGGCGGGCGATGCTGCAGCAGCGGCGCTCCTCTGAGCTGGGCCCCTCTAGCCTCTGTCCCTCTGGTCTCTGTCCTAGGACAGTATGGAGATTCACAGCTGTAGAGGCTTTGGTCCATGGACAGGTGCGCTCCTGTCCTGGCTCACACCCTTCTGTGTGTCCCACTGTCCCTCTGTCCAGTGCTGCATCACAGTCTCTGTTTGTGAGGACAAAAGGCCCTGACAGCTGCCCCTTCAGCTTCATCTGACGCCTCATTTTAGCACGACGGTTTTGAAACCAAACCTGAAAAATACAAATTATTTACAGTGAAAAATTATTCAAATAATCCGACATGGCAAACAGTAGATGGGTTAGCATAATAGTCATATTAAGTTAATGAATTTTAGATTCAATCTTTCATACTGTATAAGATTTAAATGTATTTGTACTACATTTGTATTACTGCATATGAATGTGCATTTCAGTCGGACATTTAATCCCCTCTAAACCCATAATGAAGCTTGGCTACATAATTTGATTTGCTAATTAACTAATTAATTGGAATTAAAGTGGTATGAAACGGGCATTTCCCTTGCAGTCAATTACCTGTACTCTAACCTCGATGAGGTCCAGTCTGAGGGCCAGGGCCTCCCTCATGAAGATGTCTGGGTAGTGCGTGCTCTCAAAGGCCTTCTCCAGCTCCTCCAGCTGCCAGCTGCTGTAGTTGGCGCGGGCGCGCCGCTGCTTCACTGGACGCTGTTCATCTGGAAAGTGCCGCACAAGCACCAATTACAGCCGCGCCGACGGTGACAAGCAGCTAATGTCTCTGGATTGGATCATTAGCACTGCCGTCATTAGCACACTTAACACTGCCTCATAATTGATTGTTAGTTACGAGCTGTTAGCCAATCTTTTGTAAACATTTACTCAGCAGTCAGATGGTGATGCTCTCTGTCTAAGTATCTGCACTTACTGCCAGATTGGCGTTAGCAGCATGTCCCCACATTGCACCATAATACTGTTTTGGCCCATACACTCACCTATGATCTCGGAGAGCTGGCCCAGCCCCACAGTCTGTGTGGCCAGCAGCAGGGCCTCCTTACAGGGCTCTGGCTGGAGATAGCTCCTCAAAGACTCATAGCTGAGAAAAGGTCCAGGGATCAGGATGGGAGGCTGGGCGCTCAGTCTGGTTGGAAACGCAGGAAAGAAGTGAGCAGTGGGAGAATGAAGGACGGCGGGCAGAAGTGTGGACACCAGCTGCCCCGGGCCAAACATGTCGAAGTGGAGTCCACCGAGGAGCATCGGAGCATGGACCACGGGCTATAGAGTTGATGATCTGTGGTGGAACAAAGGCATGTCTTCAGTCTTTGAAATAAGTAGATTTTCTGTCACAAGCATTTGAGTCCGTCTGATGCTGCTAATGCTGCTGCAGTTTGTCTATAAAGAGATGGGTGGAGAGTGACGGTGCAGAGGTGGTCTTACCTGTACACTCCGAGTCTCCTCCCTCTGAAAAGTCATGTGACCCACTCAGGTTTACTCTTTGAATTGTCAAGTGGCTTGGATGCTTTCACAAGGGACAAAAGAGATGTAGAAGATAAGGAGTGTGCACTGGGTGTTTGGAACAGTCAAATTATTCAGGAAAGAACAGTTTTTTCCCATCAGAATACGAAAGTATTGAGTGGGATATAGTATCAGACATATCATGGCCCATACGTAAAAGAAAAATCAAATCAAAATCACAATTTGAATGGATGCATTTTAGTAAATCGCAATGACTCAGATTTTTTAAGTACTATAATTTCCTCCACAATATATCAATGTCTTTTTCTTTATATTTCAGTCTTTGTGTCAATTCTTTGGGATGTGTTTAAATGTACATTTAAACAGAATCACATTAATAAAACACAATCACAAACCCAAATGATTGTCAGAAAAACTGTAGTTAGATATTTTTGTGCAAAATAGTTCAGCCCTAGCACACAGCCCAGACTTCACATTCCAGGATAAACAATGTCTCTATAATGCTTCCCTTATTGAGTGAGAGCTTTCATTTTACCATAATGTACCCTGTATCCGCTGTGTGTAGTGTTTTCTCTGGCACACTAACAGGGGTGTGAAGCAGATCCTGTTTACAGACTTTAAGCTCTTCACTCAACAAATTGCCTCGCTCAAAGTACACACACAAATCCCTTTTAACACCACTGTGAAAGTAGTTAATGGACGCGCAATCCTAATTGATTACACACAGGTACAAAGCTACAAAAACAAAGCTAAAATACTCCAACAAATGATGAATGAGTCTCTATGTTGGGAGGTGAAATCATTGTTATAGTTTGTAGGACAATGTACATGAATAGAAAATATTCTATATCTCTATTTTTTCTCAGTACTTTCAATCCACAGATCTATAACAAATAGTTTTAGCATTCGGTAGATTCATTCAATACATTTATTGGAATTTAAAGGTCCTACTGTATATTACACAGAACTGACTCTTGTGAGCTTTAAACCATGTTATAATGTTGTTACCTCATCAAAAACATACCTGGAGTTGTGTAATCCTTTATTATTAGTCTGTCTACATCTCCAAAGCTCAAAATGCTCTGTTCCACCTTGTGATGTCATGGAGCTGTAGTTTTCAAGTTACCAAGTTTTCTGTCTGAGAGAAGAATTTGGCCTAAATATGCAGCATTTGTGTGTTAAACATGCGTGAATGAAACAAAACACAACTTCAGGAATCAATGTTATTACACTTTTAGTCACCTATTTACCATGCTAGTAAAGGAGGAGTGTCTGCTTCTTGTCTCATATAGATATTATTATTAAATGTTTCGCAATATGACATTAAACCGATATATTGTTTTCAACTATGGATGTTGTAACACTTTGAAAATCATGCATTCTTACTGTGAACAGGGGTGCCTCATTGATTCGTCCAGGTATTCGGTATGTGGTGTCGCCTACCTTTCTCCATTCAGATAGATCAACTTAAAGCCATATTATGCAACACTTTAGGTGAAGCAATAGCATCTTCAAGAGACAAGCTAAACTACACCAGAAAAGATTTGTCACGATAACAAATTTTAAGTGTGATATAACTGAAGTAAATGTTGACAGTAGGTGATAATATAATGATAATATAATTTGTAATGTAATCGTGACAGGCCTAGTTCTGAAATCAGTCCCTAAATCAATCCCAACAGACTCTTGGCTCTTCCTGTCTGCAGCTGTACGGTGGAAAGCTGTTGACACATTTGTGAGTGACGGGTCCGATCCTCGGCGCTGACACGTCTCTGATGTGTGGGAGAATTAAACACAGGTGTCGCAATTAATCCCAAACAGATCAGCTAACAGCGGCTAACAGCGCGTACGTCGCTAACCGCTCATCATCATCAGAGAAAGACAGCGCTGAAGCATGCGTCAGGTGCAGGCTTTGATGTGCCGTACTCGTCCTGGGACAGGTGAGGCTGACAGGGCCAGGGTGACTCAGGATATGGTCAGCCTGCCTCCTCACCTGTGGCCCTTTTATCTGCACCTGTCCAAACAAACAATCAAATGCACTCATGGTGTTGGTAATAGAGGATTTAGGGACTAGTTTGGTCGTAGATTTAGCTTCTGCCTACACCTGGTCATTGACTTAGTATAGATTTAATTGTTCTATATACTGAAAACTGAATGTTTTATTTTATGACATCAGATTAAATATAATGTATGTAGACTGTAATGAGTTAAACCTTGACAAAATAAAAACACATGAACATGAACATGAATATAGATTGTCTATGTTTTGCCTGGAATATTCCATAGTATGGCATTAAACATAACTATTATTGTATTTATTCAATTGCATGGGTATTTATTGCTCAAAAATACCTTGAAAAACTTGTGAAGGGCCTTCTTTCCACAGATCTGACCTGAAACCTGACCTGGTAGTGTCACTTGCTTGTCTTTATTTTATTTTATCAGGAAGTTAGAGATTGTATCTCATTTTTAGGGGAGTCCTGAGTTCACAGTTAAAAACAAAACATTAACAATTAATACAGTGCATAGTACAATGTACATTTAAATATTTATTGAAGCTGTAGTCCTCAGGCAAACAATTACAATGGTCAGAAAATAACAGATATAGTGTGTTTAAATTCACTTAAGGGAATTACATTGTTTAGTTTTATTTGGTTTATGTGAGTGTTCCATAAATGAGGGCCATAGAATCTAAAACAAGCTTTCCTTTGCTCTGTGTAGATTTGTGGTAAGTTAATGCCATATAAGTTAATTTCATACAAAGCAGTAAGCATCTGTATGAAGACAGGCAGCAGGAAGATCCTCCTCCAGAGGTTATATAACATGCACCTTTACGACAACAACAGCCTTTTTTACATGTATTAAAACTCTATGATTTGCCCTGTTGGCTGCAAAAATAAAACCTAAAATTTAAACACGTGGTTAAGGCAGCTACTGCTACAGCCACCATTTTTGAAACAGATGACTACAAATTTAGTCAGCTGCGATGCCAGTAATCTATGACGTAAGAATGAGCTCAGACAAAACCAAATTGAAGGAAGTGATTTCTTGCACTTGCGTTCTGCGGGGGGCAGGAGAACAGATTAGAAGTGTCTGGTCTGAATGTGACTAAACAAACACCATGTGAGCTACGACTGACACGTGAATAGCCATAAGAGTTAGCGGATGGCAAATAGGTAGTCCCAGGGATTTCTCCTCTGTCTAAAAGCTACCCCCAAACTCACATCCTAACTATAGCGTATTTGTCTCTTGTAATTCCCATTGATCTCCATAATCAGGGACCAAATTGGTGAAAACCGGTTTGGGGGGAGGCTGACAGCGTTGTTCAAAAGATCTGCTCAAGGATAATTGAAGGAGGAATTAGGGCTACAATAGTGATGTCTAATGCCAGGTGTTAACGGTCTCCGAGGTATTCTGAGGTGTGCAGGAATGACAGGAGAAGGCAGAGGATTCGCTGTTAAAACGGTAATCATTGTATCATTAGCAGGTCCTTTGGATGGAGCGACAGACTGGTGATTGTGTTTGGGTTTAAGCACACACCAATGGGAGGCTGTGTGGCACTTTTGGTCAGGCTTTGTGAAAGACTTGTTTAAACTTGCTTTGAGTTGCTGCAAAGTTGGAAAAGGGTAAATGTAGGAAAGGTAGACTAACAAAAAATGTTTTAATAAATTGTGTTTAAAATGCTTGAAAAGTTTGACAATAAAGAACTGCTCAAAGTGTCAGTGGTGCCAAAGTGGAGGAGTATGATAGATTTGATACAGGAACACAAATGGAGGTAAAGAGGTGGAGGTGGAAGGGCTGAGGTGGGAATGGTTCTGCTGCTGTGGTGAAAATGGGTCGGAGGTTGTTCTTCGTTTCTGTCTTTATTTATATATCGTTGGGACAGTGACTGCTAAAGAACTACATGACACTCATGCCACTAGAGTTAAAGCAGGTAGCAAGTAGAGAGGGATGAGGTGTCTTGCTCAAGGACGCAGCATGCACTGGTCCTCTGTTTTATTTCTCTGCCATTGAGCCACTGCCGGGCAACTTAAAGCTCCATCATGTAACTTTTACAGTGGTAGGCCTGCCACCTGCTTGTCTTCTCGGAGGTGGAATTGCTTTAACTAGAATGTTTTACTGTAAAGTTTTCTTTAATCTTGCATTTATGAAATTATTTCAGTTTTTACTGGTAAAAGAATACAGAGAAACATTCACTCTTACTGTAGGTGTGTTGCCTCTCCACAGGTTTGACTCGTAACTTATAGCGTCACCTCACCTGGGAACATTAGCCATACTGTACTATGGGAAAATCCTAGTAGAGCAAAAACATCTCCATGGAGACGAGCAGGTGGTTGACCCGCCACCAGAAAAGTACACTGTGCCCCTTCCATTTTCAGCTACATTTTCTACAGGAGCAAATCATAGCAATATTGTCCAGAATAATTTGTGAAGTGAATAAAAATATACAAACACTAATATGTAAAATATAAAATAACACTTATAGCTTGCACTTAATATTTTCTATTGATTCACACAGTATATTGAACTAAGTCTGTATTTAGTCGTCAAGTTCTACAAATGCTTGTTTCCGATGATTACCGATCGCCATGGGAACTATTATAACTTGCAGCAAAGCACTTGATAAAATTGAAATCAAATGAGTGAGTTTTGGCCTTTTGCTTGACAGACATGGCTGAAGTGGATTAACTCTCCCTCTCTGGCCTCGCGTTACAACATACTCTTTAGACATAATGGAGATAGCCCACATTATTATTGGTCCTCATTCACGACAATGACACTTTAGCTCATAAAACAAGAGTTCTGCCAAATGTCACGGAAAGAAAGATGATTATCGCCATCTCCTCCGTCACGGGAATCTGTCTGTGTGGTGTAATTTGCAGAGTGTAGCGACAATGGGGCCAGATAAGATCAATATTTAATGAAAGTGTAAGTGAGGCTTAAGGCTGTCACTTATATCTTGTCTGTTAATGATATGTCATATTATTACACAGATCAGACTGGTCCATCTGCATGAACACGCAACTGCTGCTGTTTGAGAAATGTGCTGGGGTCAGTGGGTGCAGGGTCACCGCTAGATACACTGCAAAATGTAAATAGTAGAAGTAGAAAGTTGAATGGGAAAATATAAGGAAAAAATAAACTCCATTCACAACAGAACAAAAATATTGAAGCTAAAATAATTTAATCTAAAATGGTATCTATTAAATGGTTGGAAACAAGTAACAATAATGCAAAAGATTGTTCGATTGTTGATTTATGGACAAAACAATGAAATAAAAAAACATGGATCATTTACAATAAATTAAAACGTACAGTTTAATACCAAAATGAGAAACCTGACAGCAACAGTTATGTAGAAAAGGGTGATATTTTTTAGTATAAAGTGAATGGGAGCCAGAATCAGTGGGGCTGGAAGAATGCCCATGCTCACTTCCTATTTGTAACAAGCATAGTTAACTATGTCCATTTATTTATACAGTATACAGTGTGTGATGCGGAGACTGATTAGGTTACGACCCATAGTTTAGACATGGATTGTTTTGATTGTAAATTAAAATCCAATCTTGAACTTAAATCAGAGTTAAAATCACTAATTCAAGTCTGGATTGGTATAATTGAGTCAACACCCCAAAAATGTGTTTGGAACTTGAAGCTAAGTGGATTTCATGGCTGAGGAAGCCCCTATGGCCTGTCCCTCACTGTGCACAGTAATAGTATCCTCACACAGAGCGAGCTGATTGTTTTAGTCCTGGATCACTGGACCTGGGCTAAACCTGAGCCCCATCCTGCTTCTCATGTCAGAGCCTTCAAGGAGAAAGCATCCACAATCCAACAGCAATCACACTTGAGACTTCAAAGTGCCAAAGAGGAGAGAGATGCCACAGACGGACCAGTGTGTTGTGCTATGCGAGCCAAGTGTAAGTGAAGCGTGGAGCAGAGGAGATGATCTAAGGCTGAGGTGCCATGGAGAGGATGACGGAGAGCGGACAGATGTGCACGGGCAGGTACCAGCACATCTGGGTTACAACACATTCCTGCTCGGCCATCACTCACTGCACACTTTTACATAGAGGAGGATATGTTCTGATGTAGCCCGATCAAACCATATCAAGGCTGGTGTGAGGATAATTGGGGGATACAGTGACGTAAATAATTTCCACAGACAGAAATCTCACCACAGACAAGTCAGGACAATGCAGATTTTTATTTTGATAGAGGAATTGAAATATTCCAGGTCATTACAAGCCAATGCATCTTTGTGTGGGTCCCAAGCCAGAAGGTATGATAGGGAAAGTGTAAAAAAAATATGAATAGGAATGATTTAAGATTAATGGACTAAATAGTATCACATTTTATTGTGGTAATTCAACATTTAACATAGAAAAAAATGCTTGCTGTTACCCAAATTTTTGTTTTAAATGTTGCAAACCACACAAGAAAAAGTATGAATGCACTTGAATGAGATGGAATATAAATTCTAGATACAATATTGTGCACAGTAGTCCAGCATTGCCCAAAGATGAAGCTCACACTTGACATTGTCAGCTGACAAATAAAGTGATCTCTGTCTTATCAGAACCTCCATCAGGACGATGAGTGGTGCTCTTTTTGCCCCTCCCTCCTCGTTAGCCGTCACTCAGCCCGGTCACGCCTCACTGCTGCTCAGCCAATCAGACTCTGGCGCCGCACCAAGAGCCGCTCTGCAGAGGCCTGTGCACCAGTGATTGATAAACCATAAACACAGCTTTCAGCTGGTTATAGGAAACCAGACAGGTGCAATTTACACTTTTACACAGGAACCGAGCAGAAGAAAAAGATGTTAAATACACATATGGAGTATGTGAAAATAATGCACACCAGAAAAGAAAATATTTGGAGTTCTGCATATAACTTCTTGAAATACTAGTATATTCCTATTCCATGTATGGATATTGTTGACATTGATTGGGGTTGGAGGATATACCTTGGACACTGACAATGATAAACTTGATCCGAGGCACCAAAACTTTCCTTATAACAATACTAACCTAACCCACCATGAATTGTTTAGGTAAAAGGCTGCAAGGTTGCTTGTACTCTTGCATGTCTGCATGTTCCTTCCCATGTTATTGTAATTTCCTCCAGTTGCTTCGATTCCTCCCCACCGAAAAACATGCACATGATGAAGGATGGCTCAAATACGGGGGACAAACTTGTATCTTTTTAAAGATTTATTGATTTCATCTTTATTCGTGTTTATTTTTGAAAGCTTTTTCTCATTTACAAACACAAACTTTTGTGCTGCCTTAAGACACAATAATGTTGTTTGAAATATTCTTGTACAGCCATCTATCCTCCTGAATGTCAGATTACCTGCTGGTGTGGACATGTCCTGTAGCCTCTCCCAGCTATAAGACCCCCCTCCTCTTTCACACACACAGTTTGTCCATGTAACCAAACCCTGCTACTCTCCACACTTAAAAGTCAGACCCACATCAGGTCTTCAAAGCTGCCTTTAGTCTGTGATTGAACAATTACTGCCATGCTTAGTTTGCCACCAATGGCGACATGCACTTCCTTAGTTTAGCGGCGTGCCTCTACATTGTTTAACCTGTTCTTTTGACTCCATCAAGAGGTTTTCAGATGAAGTCAGAGGCACTGGGCAAAACAACTCACACTTTCACGCCAAAGCAGTTTCCATTGCAGCGTGCACATTGTGCCTTTAATTTGTCTGCAACACCCGAGTGAAGAGCTGGCCCCGATGACAGCTGCTCCCCTTTATCAGGACTACAAATTACTGGAATAAAATGGAAGTCCACAAACCTGGCACCACTTTTTCCTATCTTTGAAATAGGTAAAAGTGAAAGGTAATAATTGGTTTATGTGGAAAATTGTCTTCTTACAAATTAAAGAATAAATTCAAAATGTAGTAACACAAAACTGAATGCTTGCATTCCAAAGCAAAAAAGTATTTTCAACACTACTATTTTATTTATTTCTAACTGGTGGGTATAGATCTCCAATTTTGACTTGGATTTTACCATGTTTTATAACTGAGTATTCTTGAATGAGTCGAGACAACAGAAAATTAACAAATTGTAAAATTTTTATTTTTGTATATTTAGATATAGCAGCTTTACTAGTCAGCAAATTATCAAAGGCCACTTGCTGTATTACACCACTAATGTAAATACTAGGGCCGGGCACATTAATGCGTTATTTTTGCATTAACTAATTAATTCATCATCACCAACAATTATTTTTCTCCCCTTAACGCAGTTTTTATTTATTTATTTTTATTGTAAACGTCTGTTGTTCACTGGCTTTTATTTTGAAAAAGACCTCCACAAGCGAGCCTAGAATTGCTTACTGCTGCGGCGCTCATAGAAAACTGAGAGAAAGAAAGCGGGATAAGGGTAAGGAACTTTTACATGGCCATTTTCATTTTAAAGTTCTTCCAGACAGCACAGTCGACACAGTCAAAGTCATTTTTGTAACATTGCAACACTCAATTGTTTTATCACCAGAGTTTGACCAGTCTGAAATATCATCTAAATGCAACACACTCTGTTGATGCTGGCAATTCATTCAATGAAACGAATGGAGCGAGGCTTCGGCCAACCACGTGAGATGCAATGTGTCAGAGCCATCACTCCGCACACGCACATTACACAAAGCACATAGGGCACCAAGTGCTTGCGGGGGCACCACCACACGGTCGATCGCTCTTCGTCGCATCTCCCCACCCTGGATCTCACTTTTTTTCTGCGAGAAGTCTGTGCCAGCAATCACATTCTTAATAATAATAATGATAATAATACTCATATTATTCTTGTATGCCTTAGCAACTTGCTTTGTTCAGAAACATAAAAAAAAATTGGAACTGACAAACTGCACTGAAACTGCACATGGACTTTACAGACTAGTGCCCTGCTCCTGTATAAAGAAATGCTGTTTGCACAACGCTATACACCACTTTTTAATTCATTAATTGGTTTTACATATAACATGTGATTAATCATGATTAATCATAGGAACTCATGGGATTAATACGATAAATTTTATATTTTTTTATTTTTGCCCAGCCCTGTAAATACACATGTATCAGTAACCTATGGGAAATGCAGAGCTAAAAAACATTTCATTTGCAATGATCTTTTTTAAAGATTCTAAGTTATGTTGTGGCTTCCATGTGCAGAACCTTCATAGACTCCGAAATCATCGAGCTTGTGTCTATTTGTCCGTAGATGCCCACTAAAAATGCTTTGTGGAGCAGGATGTCCGCATGTTCTGGAGAGGGGAAAAGTTCTTGTCACATTCACTTTAACATTTCAATAATTATTCAACCTTTCACTAAACAGCTGAGCAGGTGTGACTTACCTTGACAGAGGAGCACGTATTCAGGGAGGTTTCTGAGCGCAGTCTGGATCACATCAAAGTTACCGCTGCCCAAACAGTACATGAAAGTGGGAAGGAAGTCAGTGCCCAAGCTGCAACAAAGAAAAAAACATAAAATTACCAGATTCATTCGTAAGGGCCTTTTGAGAAGCCAAACTCAAACTCAGCTAATGGTATGACAAAATGTATTTTTGCTACTATAAACATGAGTAACTCTATTATTAAATCACTCATTTACCAACATATTTTACATCTAACAAAAACACTGACACGATACAATACTTTGTGAGATTTAAAAGCACATGAAGTCACCTGGGATTGTTCTGGATACAGCGCAGAGCTAGACTGAATGCCATGTTTCGACACAGTTCCTCTGACGATGCCATGAGCCTCTGCAGATCACTCTATGAACCAAAGTACAAACTGTTACATCGACAATACCAAGCACAATGCCACGATTTACACATTAGTATTTATGACTCACTATGAAGTACTGTACGATCTCCGGGCTCCTCCTCGACTTCTCATCCACTTCTGTCAACACTTCCAACACATCTACAGACAAGCACACAAAGGGTAAAATTAGTCATTTAAGTGCGGCTAGAATGAATTTGGTACCATTTATGTAATCTTTTTGTTAATTTTATGAATGCAAACAAATCTAAAATCAGCAGTGACCACCTAATTTTCCATTATTTTTTTCCCATAAACTTAAAAAAAAAACCATCAAATATTAAGAGTTCAAAGACATTACAGAGGCTAACCTTTAAAATAACTTTTATAAAGTTTCAGAAACAGATTTTAAATAAAATTATAGGTCTTGTAGTTACCACATAGCATTTTAGCCCTGAGCAAGCTTTCAAACGTTTAATATTAATTAAATTAAATGAATGAGAAATTTAGTTCTGGAACCGGGGGGCAGGCGGTCACTTTTGAGCTCCACAATCTGTGTAAAGTTTCTAGGCTACATGTTTTGGGGAGTACCTAAATATTTTATATGATTAGCTATATTTGATCAGTTAATAATACGTGATTAAGAAGTTCACAATAAACATAAAAAAAAAAAAAAAATGGATTTATTGTAACAATTTCAGAAGCAAAATGAAGAAAATTAAGCAAATACATAAATTCAATGTTCCATTAATCCTCTACACTTACATAAATAGTGCTTGGTAACACAGTGGTTTCTATCACCACCGGAGCAGATGTCATTTGATTAAAAGATGCACTGAGTAACATTTCCAGTGAAGGCGTCCACCACCTGATGGCTCAATCCTCTATATAGAATGTTCCACAGTAAAGATTAAACCTACCTATCACATGGGAGACAAGTAGGGCTGGGTATCATTAAGAAGTTGCCGATAAGATACATACCTCGATACACAGGCCACGATACAATACATATCTCGATACAGTGAACTTTCGATTCAATACGATATATTTCAAATCGATTCAATACAGTTCAATAAAAATAAAGGCTAAATCATGTCTGTGATACTAAAAGTCTTTGTTAAACCACTTTTTGTGCAAAGTTCATATGAAACACAAACATTTGAATCCTCAAAACAGTGTCAAAATGTCAAATGTGTTGCATAAATTAGTTTCCTTTCACTCCACAAGCAACAAAACTGTAGCTCTGTAACAAAATAATTTAGTAAAACACACATAAAAATACTCTTGGTGATATATCGATACAGTAGCCCACGATATTGATACTGTATCATCACATTAAACGATACGATATATTGATATTCCGATATTTTTGCACACCCCTAGAGACAAGCAGGTTACAGCACTACACTACATTACAGTTCAGATCTGTGGAGAGTCGCCCCTATTCGCAGAAGGAATTATTGTATTTTTGAACAATAGAAACCCCTGTAATGAATAAATCCGGCATGGAAAGGTTTAAAGTCATACCATGGAAAATTCCAAGAAAAGCAATAATATCTCCATGGAGACAGGCAGGTAGAAGACCCTCCACTAAAAAAAAATGCACAGTGCACCTTTAAGTATGTTCCTGAATAATAATAGTTACCTTCCACTGCTTCTCCTCTTGACATTTTCTTCAGGTACCTTGTCAAATCTGCTTGACTTATCGACACTGAAGCAGAAATGTTCACTAGGGGCAAGGATCCGGCTGCTACATCATCTGTGAAAAAGGTATCCATTTTGTTCAAATACAGAATCTTTAATAAAAATACATGTGTCTAAAATGACTGTTCTCACCATCGCGCTCCTCCGCTGAGACCTCCGCTGAAGAGCTTTTTACAGGTAAAGTCAAACCTGCTAAGAGAGATTTGAGCTGAACCAGATCTGGGTTTTCTGCACTTAAGCTTCTGTAAAATAGGAAAATAAAAAAAAAATTTATTAGTAGTTGGGAAATTCTCTAAGAACTCATTTAAAGATGCAGTATGTAATGGTTTTGCTATGGAGTGGCATTCACAAAAGAAAGAATACAAATTTTTCAAGGTATTTCTTTGCTATATTAACACTTGATTTTGATGAATTGATTACGTGCAAGACTTAAATGTAGGAAATACAAAGCAATAACATCTCACCAGGCAAGTTACAGTTCAGATCTGTGGAAAGGTAACCCCGTCCACAGTGAGAATGCACAGTTTCAAGTTAATACTTGAAATTAACTAATGCAAGAAAAAAATAATATAATGAAAAACAAAGCAATAACATCTCCAAGGAGACAAGAAGGTGGCAGACCCTCCCCAGCAGAAAAGTAACACAGTGGTTCTTTAACTTTTTGCAGCATTGTCTTGAAAACTTACTGTAATATGTTTGAGTGTTTCTGTAGATAGGGAATGGCTGCAGAGGCATCATGGGTAATGTATTTTTGAGTGAACTGTAGAAACTTGTTAATAAAGACCAGTGGTAAACGGGACCTCTGGAAGTTCTGAAAAATCACATTTAGAGACGACAATTAAAATTACTTAATAATGCACCAAAATATAATAGTTAACATAATAGTTTGTGTATGAAAGAAAAACCAACCTGAAGAACTTTCATGAATGACAGGAGACAGTCTTGAAGCGCCCTCTGGTGGTCACTGTGGAAAACTAGAGGCTGCAGTAGCTCCAGGATGGCAAGCACATTACTGAAGAACATCATGTGGTTTTGCTGTCGAAACTCATGAATGTTCAGGTGAATGCGGCCGTGCAACAGACCAGCGATCATTGGCAGGTGTCTGGAGGAAGAAGAGGTTAAAGGTCAAAGGGTTTAAAGGGCGTGTATTACACAAAATTGACTCTTGTGAGCTTTAAGCCATGTTGTAATGCTGTTACCTCTTCAAAACATACCTGTGTTTTCTTTATATATAGATCAAAAAATGACGTAGTATGGGTGGTTTAATCATTGTATTCAATTTTAAACAATAGCTCTATTGTATTTACCTGAGCAGAAGCACTGGGTGTGATACTGCCAGTTTCCTACATGCGAGGTTAGCATCAGAAACACGTCCTTCTGCAGATTTGGAGTCTCCGATGTCTGCGAGCAGTGTCACCAAACGATGGACCAAAACATCAAGCTGAGAAAGAGAGATTTTAAAACCTGTTTAAATAGGACATATTATGCAAAATTTACTTTTATAAACAGTGTTCATTCATCACTAGCTGACCCCGAGTTGTATTTTGATTAATTCATGCATGTTTGGGTAATCCTGTATTGTCCTACATTCGAGGCTTGAGTGCTCTGAAAATGTCTGTTATTTATCTCGGCCCACTGCTCCGTCCTTAATTGTGATTATTCCAAAAATTCAGGGTGCAGATCATACGTGTAAGGGTTCAAAATGTCAAATGTTACAACTATGAAAACATGTGTATTAAAATTCACTTCCAGTTACAGTGAAATGACACTACAGGGGAGGCAGGCTGATCACTTCTGAAGTTCTGCCATTGAATCTTTTTCTAATATTAAGCAGATTTAGGTCAATGTTCCGGTTTATAACGAACAAACTGTAAAATAATGATGCGATAATGATGTAGAATAATGATTATATGATTATGTATGTTTAACAAAAAGCATAATATTTCTTCTTTAATCACATAAACACATGATCATCTCTATGTATTTGTACCTTGCAGCTGCTGCCGTCGGCTGCTCCTCCACTGCTAAATGTGCCCTCAGGCAGACTCACATGCTGGATCACCTCTGGGAAGTGCAGGTAAATCTGCAGCAACAAGTTTTGACATCGCTGGCTCATTTCACTGTTGAAAACAAACAAATATATAAACAATATTTAAAAAAAACAACACTTGGTACAATCTACACTAGGGTATAACTGAGCATTCACTAGAGTCTATGCATTTATATTAAAAGGCCTTCAACTCATCATTGGAAATCCTCTTACTGACTAAGGCTCTTGATGCCTAATATTCTGCACCTTGTACAAACCAAAGCAGTGATTACAGTTGTGCATTAGTACATCAGAGTGACCTTGATGGAGAGCAAAGCGCTGCCTTTAAATGGAGAGTGTGTAATTGGAGTAAACACCATCTTATCTGACAAGCCTTAGCCACCAAGAAAGCCATATGAGTATGTTTATTCACCACAAGGCCAAAAGCCTTTACTTCCAACATGTTTTTATCCTGTTACATTTTCACTAGCAACCATTCTACCAGAAAGCTTAGCTGTACTTAAAATACAGTAATACAGAAGCTAATTTTGCTTGACCTTGGCCAAAGTTTCCTCATTAAAGCGGTTTAATAACGAGAGACATATTCATGAAAGCAGGGTTTGCCTCCACAAAGAGTTGCACCCTGATCTCTGACAGCTAAGTCAGAGCAGGAATTCACAACACAGGCAAGTTTAGAGCCGCGGCCTAATCCGCTCGGATTCATTATAATACACTGAGCTTTTAAAGAGATCACAGCAAAGACCACTTCGGCTGCTTTTAATTTCACACCAATAGACCTAATTATCGAGTTCTCCCTGGTCCACGGCATTGTGGCTGACAGACGAGTCGGAAAAGTTCATCTGCGCTCACAGGAAAATCTGCTGCGATGTAGTGCACTTTTATCAGTGCGCCATATACAGGGGCCAATATTTGTGCTAATTAGACTGAACAATACTGTGCAGCAAAGTACATGAGATGAGAACTGAAATAACCCTCTGACAAATATGTAATCGCCCTATAATGTATGTTTTCACAGTACAAAAACCAGCAGTTAGATATAGAAGGAAAATAAACAGCTCCAGATGCAGTGGTGCAGGTGCATGGGTGGTGTTCAGGTACTACAATGTGATGATGTCCGATAACCAGATGGGGGGGGCAGGTTTTCTCAATTGATTTAAGACATTGTATATTTCCATAAAATATCCAAAAAGTAAATTCACAATTTTTACATTTGTTACAACATGTTAATTTCTATTAGTGACTAAACCCAAGAACTCACTGTATTTAAACGAGAATTTTAATATCAACTGTCCCCTCATCTCACTTGAAGTTACCACACCTGATAGGCTCTGATCTTTTGTCTGGATTAATTGACTGTGTGTATCCTGATGCATGTCTGATACCTATTGATCACTGAAAACTAAATTTTCCCAAGTGTACGAATAAAAACACATTGACCTTAACCCTTATCTGTATTAAATAAGATTGGTCAATAGTTGTGATGTCATTTGAACAAAAGCGCACCTGTCCTCTTGTTTCTTGGTGCAGCTGATGAGGTACTCTGCCACCTGTTTGATGTTGTCCACCTCTCCGTTGCAGTAGGAGTGGAGCAGAGGCAGGCGGGACTGGAGCAGGGAGTTTGAGGTCTGTATGTCTTTATGGGACATGCTGTGACTGCTCAACTCAGACTCAGCCAGGATCAACTCCACCAGACTGATCAGCTCCTCCGCACTCAGCTGCAGCACAAACTTCTCTGTTTTCTTCTGCAGAAATAACAACACAGTTAAAGGTGCATTGTGTAACTTTTCTGGTGGAGGATCGGTGAAATGCTTTTCTTCATGGAGATGTTATTGGTTTGTCTGGAATGTTTCACAGTATGACATTAAACCTTACTATCTCTTCATGAGGAACAAAGTTGACCAAGTTACAGGTCAGATCTGTGGAGAGGCAACCCGATTGCAGTCAGTATGCCTGTTTTTTGATTCTTTTAGGTGTTTTAAAGCTATAAAACCACCTGTAATTGAATAAATGTAAGGTAGAGCTTTTTAATGTCATAATGTGGAACCTTCCAGGCAGAGCAATGGCATAGCCATAGAAACAAGCAGATGACTGACCCCAACCAATAAGTTACACAGTGCCCCTTTAAATTAAACAGTACAATATTATACAATTAGCTTTTTTGAAAATTTGAACATACTTCAGGAATCTTCTGGTCACGTCCTTGCCAAATACGTGGGATGTGACTGCAAGCCCAGAGAAAATCCAGAGCTGAAGATGGGTCCAGTCTGCAAAATGATTAAATATTAATATAATCCTCCATAAAGACATTATCTTAATCTGAAATCTCATTAAGACAGGAAAAATTAATACTGAATTATGTATTAGGAATTATGTTAATCTACTTTATGATTTAAGACAATAGCTGGGAAAGGCTTTAAAGAGGCGTGTACTTGTGGTCTCGCTGCTTCCCCAGTAGAGCGCTGATGCACTGCAGGAGGGTGCACCAGTTGGACTGATGAGTGAGCAGAGCCAGAAGATACGGCCTGTAGGCTGGACTACCCCGGACCTGGGATGGGAAAAAAAGCATGAATGTGAAAAAAGGACAGCACAATATTTTGAGAAAAAAAAAAAGAAATAAAATAGATGTTGTTAATGTTAATGACTAGTAGAATGACTGTGTGACTATGATTACTACTTACAATTTTCCGCCAAGTTTATTTAATCTTTAGCTTGATGGAAACAAATATTTAGATAGCCAGTTTCTACATTCACTAGACCTTTAAAAGGATATAACCATTCACTCATATATTCATACACACAGACATAGGATTCTTGGCAGATTAAGTGTCTAGCACAAGGACACAACAACAGTATATATGGAGTTTGAACCGTCGATGTCTGGGTCAGTGGACAAAGGCAACTGAGCTACAGTCACTATTATATTTGAGCTGATAAAAGCAGAGATTAATAATAATTCTGAACATTTCCGTTAGTTGATAAACACTGCATCCGTTACATTTTATCTTGTAATTCCAATAATTCATTTATTTATCCTGAGACATTGATCCATTTGTGACAGATTATGCAGCTCTAGAAGTCATTATAAAATAAATAAGAAGAAACGATATGTACCTTGTTGAGAGAAAAGAGCAGTTTCTGTTGAAGATCTGGACAAACTGATGTCACCTCAGGATCCAGATGCTCCAGCCAGTCCACCAGCAGCCCCGAGTTCAGACCAGACTTTATACATCACAACTTCATAAACAAACAAGTAGATTATTAGAAATATGTTTATATATGTTTAAATTGTATGTATTGTGGTACTGGGAAATGTTACAAGGTAGACTAAGGGATGCTGACAGATAGTTTCAGAGCAGAAAACTTTGTTCAAACCAGTATGTTAAATCAGTTCATTGATTCCCTCTGCAGTTGTACGGTATATAACTTTTACAAGACGAATGCCAGGGCCCCAGAGTTGCAGTAAATTCAAAACGGAGAGAAACCATTGATTTTCACAGCAAACCAATCTGAGAAGCCAAGGTAAAACTCCAAAACCAATTAAACCTTTCTGAAGCAAATCCAATCGCGGTACAAGGCAGGCGACATGAAGCAGCGTTTTGTTATTTTTGTCACAGGCAGCCATGTTTGTCATTTAGTTGTGTCAAATAAAACCCGCTCCGTGCATGACTTGAGAGGGAAATAGAATTGCGACGCTCACTTGTTGGAGTCGGGCTCCTTTTTCACGGCTCGCTCCTCACTTTCCTGAAGCAACAAGGAGATCACCATGGCAACGGGCCCCGCGGTGCCCCCCTGTGTGCTAGCAGCCATCAGCAGAGACAGCAGCTCCTCCAAGTACGGCGACTTCACCTCCATCAGGCCTTTTAGCACTGAGAAAAAGCAGATATACAGTAGAATAAAAATGCTTCATATTCATAAGGTGTAGAGTAACTTTATTGTAATTTTATATAAAAATAAAAATGGAAAAATGTCAATGGAAATCTTATTTTGTTTAAACCAAAAAAATAAGATTTGTTTGTTCATTTCTGTTAACTACTTGAGCAAGTTCAATATTTATACCTTTGCCAACAAGTTCAGTCTCTGCATTAAATCGCTCTCCAGCCTTTAGCATTGCAATGATCGCTCTGACTGGAACTTCAGTTTCCCTTTGATAAGCCAAAGCCTCGGCAAGATGCAGGAAGCCTGTTCGAACTACAAGAGAAGGCACAACACGTAGATACATGAGCATAGATTTTAGTTACACAAATACAGAAATAATAATGAGTGATACTGACTGTCAGAGTGCATGTGTTTGTGAGAATTCTGTCCAGCAAAAGATTTGAGCAGAGACTTGAGTGGTCCTGGCTCGATAGTGGGGTTGTCCAACCAGATCAACAGCTCAACAATGACTTTAAGAAACAGGGTGGAGAAGGCAACGTCCTGGGGCACAAGGCGCTGGACAAACAAAAACAAAAAACAAACAAAAAAACAGTTCATATTTCCAAACACACACAAATTTTATCCTTCAGCTGTACCTGGTAGAGATGCAGTTGTCTCATGAGTGGACAGGAGAGGGCGTGGCTCCGGTGCATGGACAGGACTATAGGTCCAGCGTGAGCCGAGGAGACCAGAGCTGCAATGGCCTGTAGGAGGCAGAAGGCCAGTCCTCCCTGTTGGACCTGGCCCTTCTTGGCCCTCATCAGCTCTTTGGCCAGAGCCTGCTGCAGAGACAGAGAGAGCTGAGAGGGAGGGGGACCGTGCCAGCGAGCATCCACCTTCAACGGGAAGATCTGCAACAAAAAAGCAGTCACTTGGTTTGTTTGTATTATTTATTATACATACTATTATCACACTAAATTATGTATTATCCATACGACTATCAAAGTAAATGAATTATAATCCATTCTATTAATACATTAAATGATCTTTACCTGGAGCAGTATACCAGTGAGATCATCCTCGGGGCCAATGTTGAGCTGAGAGGCAGCTCTCATCTTCACAGAGCTGGGGGCCTGCTCCACTGTCACTTTGGCTTTACTCGCTTCAGAGGAATCTATCAGAAAATAGTTTATGAAAAAAGCTCCATTTATTCTGATGTGATTCTCAGCCAAAATAAAATACCCACCTCTGCGTGGAGGCAGAGAGGAGCTCAGCAACGAATGGAAAGTGTGCCCCCCAGTGGCCCCTCGCTCATGTTGCACCTCCACCAGGTGGGCCATGTAGTCTACGGCAACATAAAAGACATGTTAAAACATGTATAATTTTAGAGGAGAAAAAACACAAATAGCAGACACCCACGTTTGTCCATGATGTTCTGCTCCAGGCTCTGTGGGTCATGTGACACAGCCTGGTCCAGATACTGTAGTAGTTTGCTCATACTGGACACTGGGATGCCAAAGGACTGCACAAACAGCAGTAGCTGCTGAGGCTCTAGGTCCTGTAAAGCTAAACAAACACAAGAGTTACATTTGAGTCATGTCTTTATTGTGAAGTGAAGTTTAAAATGTTTTATTACCTGCATCCACAAGTCGAGAAACCTCTGACCGAATCATCCTCAGTTTTAACCAATCTGGGAGCAGCAGGGCCTCCTCAGATGTGTCCACCAGGAACGCTGTCGGCAAAGGCTTTTTATCCGGAAACCAGATATCCAGAAGAGCGAAGAAGTCACTCTCCCCTAAGAAAAGAAACAAAGATTAGTCTGTGTCTAATATGACAGAAAACATAAGAAATACCAGGACAAATACCTTTAGGCGGCCCCAAAGTCAGCAAGATCACCATAGCGTGAACTACAAGAATGTGCATCGTCGCCGTCTCCCCTGTGGTCCAGCGCAGAAACACCTGATCCTGAGACTCCGACTGAAAAGAGACAAAACACAGATTATAAAAATCGTTAAAAAAAACCCCAAAACAAAACAAAAACATGATAAAGCAAAGTTTTAACATTTTTACCATCTGGAGGGGGAATCCAGAGGGGACACTCACCCAGCTGTACAGGTCCTCTCCCTCTTTAGTCTTCCTCATCCTCTTGATGTAGGTTGAGAAAATGGTGAGGAAAGCATTGAGCACAGCATCTGACTCGGGTCTGCAGGAGTGTCTGGAGAACAGACTGTTCATGATGGTTGAACGTTCCACAATCAGTCGAGCCACATCCTGAACAGAAACGGTAAAACTGTCAATCTCAAATTTACATTTACAGAAAGTTCTACTCAAAACAAAAATATAATTACCAAGGCCAAGTCATTATGAGCAGCTTGCTCTTCTATAGGAGCATGCTGGGACAGATAGATGAGATACGCACTGATCGTCTGTGGGTCTGTCTCCATGTGAATTGCCTATGGAAATAAAAATCTTGTTATTGACAGGAAGTCAACTGAAATATCAAAAGTGAAAGTAAAATATGGTAATAATGTGTGACCTGTTGTAGGGCGGTAGATGTCATTGCCCGGACAGTGTCAAACAGCGGGAGTTTGGGTAGATCCTGGAGCAGCCACTGGTAAGAGGGCAGCAGCTCAGCGTCTGTGGAGTCCTCCTCCATGGGCTGGTCCCGCTCCTCTCCATCCTTTTAAAGCCCCCTCACTCAGCACCAGTGATAAACCCTAAAACATGTGTCGTACATTTATAATAGGTTGAGCCAAGGTGAAGTAACAGTAATACAGGTGTGACTCTTTCAGCATCACTCAAAGTGGAAGCAGGGTGAAATTATTTTTTCACTGTAACTTTAAAAAGTGGTGACATATTTGAAAGATGTTCAAGCCACAAGATTAGTATGGCAAATTTGTGGACCCAATTCTAACCCAAAAATTCGAAGGTTCTTTCAAACATTGTCTCTACCACATAGATTCTTTTAATTTAAAATGAGCATCATCAGAGTAGAGGGTGTGACAGTATTACAAGTAAAACAAACTGATCAGATTGTTTGGAGATCACTATGATACGCCTTGGTTTTAATCAACATGGTCCATTTGCCAATCCTTTGCAGTAAAAAGTCTCTTGTTTGGTACGTGGTTCAGACTTGAGGAATAAATTGAGAATGTCACCAGATTGGAGAGCACTCATTTGATGTTTAAGCTGAGGTTTATTTAAAAAGTATGCGCAGTGCGTGTTCCAAGCCTAATTTTAATGTGTTTTTACAGAGAAAAAATGTAATTGAAAACCATGATTGATCAATATGAAGAAAAAAAACAAACCCTGGTGTTTTTTTTTTTTAAATTAGCTGTAGACATTGTAGTGTTGTGTGTTTTTGTACCTTCATTGCCAGCACCCGTGAGGCCACCTGAGAGGAGCTGAGGCGACGCAGGAAGTAGTCCAGCACTTCACACGTTGTCTGCTCATCAGCTTTGGGTCCTAACAGTAGATCCTGCAACCGTCCCAATAACTGCCGCTGCTTTTGTTGCCTCTAGCAGCAAATTAAAAACGTGGGATTAGTAATGACTCACTTGATTCTATTTTACACTCAATTGCAAAAAGCGGTAAACACGATTAACACATTAGCATACAAAGAAAGTCTATAAATGATAATTAAAATGTGAATAGCTGGTTGGGCGTTGTGTACAGTTGGCTTACTTGTCTCTTCTTGGCCTTCTGCTCTTTGCTCTCTCCTTCGTCATCATCGTCGGCCATTAAAGTGTCATCTGCGGCGTCGTGAAGGAGGAACTCGCACAGACACTGCACAGGGAGCACGTCCAGAGACCCTTCACTCGACTGAACCAAGTCTGCCAACCACGGCATGGACTGAGAGGAGGCCTGGAGAGGTTGGACATGAATGTATCAACACAAAGTAAAAGGGAAGAAAGTTTACCACATTAAACACACATAAATAGAACATTTATATTTTCCTTTGTGGTATTTTAGGTAAGGATGCACAATCCAGCCTTTTCTGTTCTGATACCGAGGTTAATACTTTGGCTTCAAGTATCTTATTTGGCTCCAATTGTCTTATTAATTTATAGACCCACATGGAATATCGACTGAACCAATATCTTTGAACCAATCCATCAAAATGTTCAATATCTGCACCAATATCCAAGACCAGTTTTGTATTGATGTATTTTAAGTATATTTTCGTTTTTGACGGAAACCGGAAATTTAGCGTAGACGTTTTCTTTCTGCCAGAGATCAAATGATCAGGCCTTTTGTTCATTTTAGATGTAAAATAATGAAGATTTATAAAGGATGCGTTTCTATTGTAACACATTTTTCTATTGTTCATTTTATCGAATCATTAGTAATGATTTTAGTTTTTAATGGTTCTTATTAGTTGTATGACTTTCATTGTATAAAGCAATTTGTTTTAAAAAATGCTATTTGTGGCGTCTGTTTATTGGCGCCATTTTAAGTAAATTTCACCATTCAAAGACCATAATATGTTGTTTGGAAATGGTTAAATGCTGCAGTGCTGACCTTTCTTAGATATATAAATAATTAAACCCTTACCTGTCTCTGTATGATGTTGAGAAGGAAGTCTGGGCTGCGGCTGCGACACAGAAGATGTCCAAGACGAAGAGACTGGTTCAGGGTTTTGACCTGCTCCTGCACCTGAGGTGGCGGTCTTCGAGGAGGACCCCTGAACACACCAGAGTAAAGCTTTAAAGTTCTGAAGTGGCTGTAACAGTTTTTTCCCACATGTATTTAAGTAAAACTTGTTTTATTTCATTACATATATATTGTAAAAATCTTTTTAAATTTTTCAATATATTTGTACAATTGTAATTGTAAAATATTTTACAATACATCTACAATAAGTGCAATGTGCTGTCTCCATATGCCTTACAAATTACAATGCATTTATAGCCTGTGAACCAGGAAGTAACAGAGGTGAGCTGTTACCATGGTAGCTGTTGTTAGGAGTGCTGCTCTGGCATCTAAACCATGAGAAAAGCTCTTATAAACTCAATGCAATGAAATGCTTATGGAATTGAGGAATAAGTGTGGATTGCAGCAAACCATAAACAATAAACCATTTCTCCTTTTTATGTTTTTTCACTGTAGGGGCCTTTAACAGACTTAACATAAAGAGTACTACAGCAACAGCTAGTTCTCATACTGTGGGTCGAGGCTGGTCAGCTGAGACAGGAGCAGGCTGTTGTTCTCCGTGATGGTCTGTTTGGTGGAGGCAGCAGCCAAATGACTCTCGAAGGCCAGAATCTCCTGCTTCTCCCTCTGAGAGATCTGCAGCTCTCTGTTGATCATCTCAGTCTTGGTGTCTTCATCCGCCACAGTGCACGGAGGGTAGGTGTAGTTACTGAGGAAGTAAAAGAATATTAGTCACTCATTCAACTTTAAGATTTTGTAAAAAGTTTTTATTTATATAGCACTTTTCACAGACATATGTCACAAAGACGCTTTACAGATTATTATTCAATAGCTCCATACCCGGTGGTGGTAAGCTGTTGTAGCCACAGCTGCCCTGGGGCAAACTGATGTGATTTAAATATGATTTAAATCTACTCACTTTGTCATCACCATCTCCATGAGCATTTTCAGGGTAGGATAACCGTCCCAGGCAGCCAGACCTAGAGGGATCAAATATAAACTTTAAAACGTACTTAAAAGGTGCACTGTGTATCTTTTCTGGTGGAGGATTCGCCATCTGCTTGTCTCTATGGTGATGTTATTGCTTTGCCTGGGATATTCCACAGTATGGCATTAAAAAAATATATCTTTTATTTATTCAACTATGAGCATTTATTTTTCAAAAGTGTTGCAAAAACATTCATTATTACAGTGATGGGGCACACTTCTCCACAGATCTTACCTGCCACTTGGCTGTGGCCTACTTGTCATGCCATACTCTAGAACATTCCAGAAAAAAAACTGTCAAGCAAGTGGTGGACCATCTCCCAAAAAAGTTGCACAGTGCACCTTTGAAGTAACTTTTTTCCCATGTAGTTAAGTAAAGTTTGTTTGCCTTAGCACAGATATATTGTTTGTATATTATTGTTCCACATAAACTTCAATTTCAGGTGTTCATCATTTTTTTACATTTTGAAAAAAACACACATTCTTGCAGTGTGCACGGAGACTTGTTTTACCTATTTTTTGTGGATTGAAAGCAGCCACAACAAGCAACAATAGCCATGCCTTCCAGTACAGTGTTGAAATGGCAAGGTTTGGTGGCTGATACCTATAAACAAGAGTAATTTTGTTATTATAAGTTATTAATTTAAAGCTATGTAGCTTTTAAAAGGCTGCTAAACCAGATGACGTACCCGGCAGGCAGCTGAATGTTCTCTGGGTGGTGGTATGTACACAGGTTGAGCACTGCATCAATGAGTTGGATCCTCTCCACTTTCAGGACCTCCAGATCTGTTTAACAACAAATACGGTCACCTCTTACAAAATGAATAGAAATATACAACCTATTCTTGTATTCCCTTTGTTAGGGTGACTTCATTTTACTGGTATGTAAACAAAAGATGGCACTTAACGGAATCAGTTTAACTTAGAAACACGTGTTTATGAGACGTCCAAATACACTGCCAGCGGCGAATATATACAACCAGAGCAGTGAGTTTAAACAGCTGTGGAGCTTTCACACACCACCACATCAAGGTGTGCAATTAATCTAATTAAAATTGGTTTGTGATTGATTCAGCTGGAAATTCTGTGGTAATAAAAGCAAGTGGTTTGGAGCAGTGGTTGGACTTTTGGGGGAAAAGTATGCAAGAATGAATGAGAGTAGAGAGTATTCCTTTGTTAAGTCTGGTCAGTATTCATACTGTCACAATACTGACATTTCAGTACTTATTAAAGGCTCAACTCAAAATAATAGCAGTTTATCAAGTCTGGTCTCATACTAGTTCTGATCATCGACCGTATAAAGAAATGGACTAAAAGAGTGTGACGTAACCCATAGTGCTTGGCTCCAGTCAAATGAAGCTCACAGCAACTCAAGGCTAGCAGTTATAGGAGCAAATTTGGATCCAGGTCCATATAAGGAATAGGAATTTATTTATGTACATAAATAGTAAAATGAAAACACCAGGATCATGCAGGTTAATACAAACTTTTTAAGATGAAAATGACAAGGCTCACTGCAGTGGTTACAGGGAAAGGGGTGACAATTTTAGAGTTAATGGAGCCCCCATGAACACTTTCTATTTGGGATGGAGCAGCTAGCGAGTTAGCTATGTTCATTTATATATACAGTCTATGGATGTGATACAGATGAAAATCATTCAAAAGTCCAAGTCTGTCCTACTTATGTGCTTCTTGCAGTAATGATTAGTATCTGGGTATCATTTTTTGACAGCCCCACCCAAGTTTATGTTCATAAACACTATTAAAATTATTATTATTATTAACCACAAAATTGAAATCAATACGAGGAAAAGTTATTATGACGCATCTTTGGTCATATCCCCAGCTGTGCCTACCATCAGACTGGACCCCTGCCGCCCTTTTTACAAGGTGATCTGCCAGCTCCATGGCATCAGCTGGACCCAGGGGCAGGTCCCGGGACAGGCCGATCACGAGGATACGCATCAGAGTGTCCTCAAGCAGTGGCACCTCAGAGCACAGACGAAGGAAGAAACTGGAAAATACAGGAACAAATATATCCTCTTAGTGAACATACAATTTACTTCACAGCAGGGCTATGTAATCTCTAAGTACTAGGGCAAACACGCTTACTTCCTGTCACTCTCAGGAGGCCAGTTGTCCCACTTGTAATATGTTTCAGGTTGCTCTGTGAAAAGCACTTTATGGAGGCTAGATGTAAAAAAAAAGAAATTAATTTAGCAAATAATATTATAAAGTTGCCCAATGTTATTTGATTTCATAACATCAAGAGTATTACTGACCAGTGGACATAGTCTTTTGGTCCAACTTTGCTGATTGTAGGAACTACAGTGTGAAGCCACCACACGGCATCTCTTTGGATGGCAGCTATTTGATTCTGAAATGATCTCAAGACCTCCAAATCTATCAAAATACAATGAATGTAATATTAAAGGTAATCTATTATGCAAAATTTACTCTTGAGATCTTTAAGTCATGTTAGAATGTTGTTCACACATGTTTGAGTAACCCTAATTATTCTGTCTATATCTCCAAAGCTTAAAATGCTCTGTTCCACCTTGTGATGAAGTAGTAGATTTCAAGTTAACAGCTACCTTTCAACTTTTGTTCAGTGGAGGCAATTCCAGGTCTGAAATCATCCAAATGATTCTAGTGAAGATATATGGATTTAAAAAATACAGTGGCATACTTCCTGACACATGACATCACAAGGCAGAGAGTTTTCTGTCTGAGAAAAACTCAGCATAATATTCAGGATTTGTGTGTTAAACATGTGAATGTGTGAATGAAACAAAGCACATCTTCAGGTCTGTTTTGATGAGGAAACAATAATGTATATATATACATATATAATATATATATATATATATATATATATATATATATATATCAAAAAATAGGGTAATATGGGCCCTTTAATTAAATGCAAGCAGTATAATGCAAAATTAAGTTACTTTTAAACAAACCCTTACTCTTTTTCTCTCCTTTGTCCCATGCAATTCCTGCTTCTTTTACTTGAGCCGTTATTCCAAGCATCATGGACACCGTCAGTAAATCAGTAACTTGGATAACAAAACGCTCCTAGAAGTGAGCAAACATAAAGTTAGTGAGAAAACCTACCGACCTTGGTTAATTTTATTTAGATTATAACCTACTTTAAATTCCATGTCCACATAGCTGGCCTCTTTTCTTTCTTGCATTAAACCAAAACAGAATGACTGAAAGTTAATCTCATGCTTGGTTTGTTTGATTATTTCTCTCAACAATGCTCTGGAGGCACGTAAGTAATCGTCTTTATTAGTTAGCAAGTCCTGGAACACCATAGCTAAAAACTAAAAAAGAAAAAATGACAATAGAAAGTTAAAGATTTAAATTTATTATGTTTTCAAATTCATGAAAGTAAAACTTAAGGTACCTTTGGAGCCTGCTCTGGACTGTGCTGTAAAACTGTGTGGAGTACTTGCATATTGTTGGGATTTCTGGCATTGGACAACTCATTGAAAATCACCAGTTTGACCATAGTGCCAAGGTTGTCTTTATTAGCATTTAAAAGTTCCCTATGAAAAAATGTTAATACAAAAATTTAGACATTGAAAATAAACAAGTGTAACTGGAGTGTGAGTGTACGCACCTGACACAGAGCATGTAGTGGTTCAGAAGAACTTTGGGCTTGAGGCGGATCTTGATTAAATTGGAAATGACCTCCATGTCATCTGCACCATGTGTGTTACAGTTCATACACAGGGACATGAGAAGGTCCTGTGCCGGGCGGGTTACCTGTACACAAAAAATGGCATGTAAATTGGATTAAACTTGTACAAATATGTTTTATATTTGTGAAAAAGTGTGGTGCATCTAAAAAGTATAAATGAGCCACAAAAAAATGCCTATGGGTTTGCAAGTGCATAAAATCTTGACGTTAAAGGTTTGTAACCTCTTGCATATAGCTGCGATAGATACATTTGTATTACTGTATTTCAACACTTGTAAATATAGATGTATATATATGTAATTATGCCTTATTTAACACCAGTTTCTTGCCATTTTTGCTACTTATTTAGAATGTATTAATAGCATTTATATTTTTTCTCTTTGTTATTATAATATATTGTGATGTGTGAGCTACTGTGTCCAAGTAGTTTCCCTTGTAGATCAATAAAGTTTCTTCCAGCTATATTCTATAAGATTACATCTAGCTAGCTCCCTCTATGGTAAAGGTTAATTTTATTTAGATTTCTTTTATCACAATTAGAAAACAAGAGAACCATTTCTGCCATTTAAAATAACAGAGGATGTATTACAGACCTTTGGATTTTGTAGCCACATTTCCAGTCTCTGCACAGCCATGAGCCGGGCCTCTTTGTATCCACATGTGGCTGTGAGCAGACGCAGCAGGTTACGGGACACATTGTCCATGGGCTGTCTCCGGTTCAGTTGATCTCTAAGTACGTCAAGCACATAGTCTTCCACGCTCTCTGCCAGGTCATCATACCTACAATAACAGACCATACTTCCTGAATTAGGATTTCAAACTATCCCCATTTTATTATTATGTATTTATTTTCATGTCCAAATGCTGCTGTATAAATATAGCCACATATTGTACATAATAGTTTTGCATGCTTTTACTCTAATTGCACGGTGTTCTATTTTAATATTTTGATGGCCTTTTGTATCTTAACACTATTAAGACTTTCTTATTCTTTTTTATATTCTTGTCTATTTTTAAATCATAATTTATCTCTATTTTTCATTGTATATTATTATTCCTCTGCTGCTCTTGTACTCTGTGATCCAATACTGGAATAGCTCCATTGTAGGACCAAAAAAAAAAAAGGTTAATTTATTTTTCACAGAATATATATTAGTATATGAATACAGTTTTACACCTGGCCATGACCTGCCCTTCATCCTCGGGGCTGAGTTTCTCTTCTGCAATCAGCAATTCCGTCTGACTGTCATCCTCATCTGGGGTAGAGGGGTGTGGACTGCTCCCTAAAAGAAAGCAAATTTATTAACATAACTTATCTCGTAATTAAACATATGACAACAAATAATATTAATAATATTGTATTTAACCTGCACTGAGATCTCCAGGAGTCCTCCCTGTATCCGCCTGCAATAACATGCTCTTTGGGGGCATCTTGGTGCCAAAAGCTGTTTGTATGTTGTCAACAAATGTTTTACAGTGAGAGCTGTCCACCCAGATCCTTTCTCCCAGAGAGTCCTCAATGTATACCTGAAAATACAAATTTTATCCCCTATTATTACCCCTACCCGTACTAATATTCCTGCTAATACCACTACTTACTTTTACAAAGATCTCAGGCCAGTTTTCATCCTCCTCATAAGCGGCCATAAGCAGATTACAAGCAAGTACAGACACAAGACTATTTCCTTTTGCTTTGAAGTTAATAGAAGCATCACGGCGTAAAAGACTGCATAAAGCCTTAGAATAAGAAAAGCACAAAAGAATACAAAAAATATTCAAGCGGATATTGAAGAAATAAATCTTCATTTTTTTTTAAAAATTCCTACCTCTATAATTCCTTCTGTAGCAAAAACATTGGGTTTGATTTTGGCAAGGAACATCAGACTGAGATACAGTGTAATGTCAGGTTTGGCTCTGTTCATTTTCAGCTGTTTGACAGCTCCACACAACAGTCCCTCGATGCGGTCATCATTTCCCTCTGACTCCGCAGCCTCAATCTCATCCAAGAGCAGTGAAGGGGACACTAATACAGAAAAAAGTGCATACTAGATAAAAACACTGACTGCTCTCTACTCTATCTACCTTTTTTGAGGAGCCTGATGAAAAATATTCAGATGATATCATGTCAAACCAACATAAATGTGTTTTTTATGTTTAAATGTTTTAGCTTTAAATTAATTATTAGACAAAGGTCTGTAAAATTACCCACACACAAATACAGACAATACAGGTTTATACCCTTATTTAATTGTATCAGCCTTCCCACCTCTATATGAAGCAAACATTTTTGTATCTTGAAATATACACTATCACCAACCTTCAATAGGAATAACTGATGGTTCTTTGATTGAGGGTGATATTGCTCTCTTGTCCACTGCAGCAACATCAGCAAGGCGTCCCAGGGCACTGACTGGAGGGGTGGTGGAGAGTTTGGGGCGTTTGGTGAGACTGGACAAACTGGAGGAGGATGGCAGAGAGGAGGGGGGCTCCCTCTTGCGGTCAGTGGGTAAACCGGCCGCTGCTGGTTTGAGGAGCACAGCCGGGGCTTTGGGCTCTCCTCCCTGAGTCTTTGAGCCCAGAGCAATGAAGTCTCCTGGAGGTGGATGACCTTGGAAACAAGTGATTTGACATGACAGACAAATAGGGACAATAAGTGCAAGGGATGGGAGGAGATACACTTTCCACAAGACAATACACAATTTTCATATATTATATAATAGATTTGTTGCGCGTATAAGTTGAAAATCTTAGCCTCACACATTTTGATTTATATTTTGATTTATTTTCTACCCTTGTAGGACAGCATTTTAAACTACAGCTTATTAAAAGATATGCTAATATTAAAATGTAAAACCTCTTATTCACCAGCACTGAACACTTAACTCTTTTTACATGTCCAAGTCAAATATAAACAAATGGCAAGAGATCATGTCATTCTCCACGAGTCCACAATACTGTGACAATTTTATCTGGCTAGATCTTACCACATCCTTAATAATAATTACCCAACTTAATGTAATTCAACTGAATCCTTAAACTTTGGCTTACAACATAGCTATCACAACGTTGTATTTAGATCCATTATCGTTATTTTCACTTTTTAATTAAGAAAAATAAAAAAAAACGGAAATTTAACTTACCTGATGGCTTGGCAGCACTTGGCCGTCTGATATTTGCTGGCTTTGGGCGATTCATTGTTATTTAGAAGCACATCTGACAACAAAAAAAAAAATAAAAAATGCATCAGCATGGAAAATTAAAATATAACGTAGAACCGTTAACACAAAACAGGCATAAAAATATACCAATAAACACCTCTGTCTCATCTTTACAGCTCCAACAAAACAGCGGGTAGTTCATACTACCTAATAGGCTAACAACATAAGCTAACCAGAACGCTATGTACTTTAGCATTGCAAACTTAAAATTATCGCTAACAGCTCTAATACGTCCTCAGGAACAACAAATGAATGAACAGAGAATGTAACTCACGTGTGTTATTATATGAGGGGGTTTAGATCATTCCTGTGAGTGTAAATAAAATACATTTATCCTGTTTAGTGAGAAGAATCATTCATGTTTAGAGGAGCCAGGTCACTCCTTCTATGAACAAGTGTGGCGCAAATGGGACCACGTCGCCTCCTACTGTATAGACATGTAACTACATTACAAAGGGTTTGCACAAATAGTTAAATTATTTAAAAAATAAATATTAATGTTACTGCTAAAATATTATTATTTTTTGAATATAGATAAAAAAGGGAGCAGGCACAAGTATGTTTTATTTTTATTTTACTTTATTTTAAACCACATAAAAAGCTGTTGTGCATTTGACCACCAGATGGCAGAAGATCTAAGTATAATAATCGTGTGGTTTGAGTCATACTTCCACAATTCAATCAACATGGACAACTTAACTAATAAAAGAGCATTTATATATTTTTTAAACATTTTTTTTTTTTTTTTTACCCCACAGAACCTTCACAGAAAGCTCAAATACAAACCTATGCTGCCATGGCGCTTGCTCAGTCACTGGCCACCAGATGTCACTGTTTGACTCTATCAAATCAAAAATGTTGATGGAAGTGTTCACCGTTTGTTATGTTTAAACAATATGCATATGATCCTCTAATCAAACAGCATAATCAGAGCCCTGTGGTGCATAATATAGGCCAATGGCAATCTAAATGCTTTATCAGTTTCTTGATTGGGTACATGTTAATTATACAGTAGCCTATTTATTTGTTAACTTTAATTCTTATTTCATTTTAACAGAACTTTGTTTTGCACTTGGCCCAGCAGCTATTTAAAGTCTCAATAGTGCAGGGGCCATAGCCTATATTGTTTAACAAAGCAGAGG